TGTATATTAAGCAACCTTAATAAATATTCTGCAAAGAGTGAAGTATGGAAACTCTAGATGGCCACTTGTATCTCCTCTGTGTATCTTGGTCAGCTTCTCTGCAAGCTGGCCTGCATACCTATTAAAGTCACATTTTTACATGTTAGCCTGTTAACTTACTCTTGATTATGAAGTGTTACCCGTGATGAGCTATTATAAGCACACAGTATCTAGTAAATGATCAAACTTTCTCTTTTCTGTTTGTTTAGACATAAAGATAATTTATGAAACACAATTCCTGCTATAACGAAGTTTTTTCCCCTGAAATTAGATGAGGAGCCGTGAGATATTTCCACTATAATTATCTGGCTTTTTTCATTCACAAGGTTATCTGACTATAGCTGATGTAATCATAATCTATTCTAAGTAATAAAAATGTAATTTAAATAAAAGTTGGCAGTGGAATTAAAACCACGAAGATAATATAAAAGATTATTTGTACCTATATTTAGAAAAAGTGTCTGTATTCTAGGGAGTGTCAGCAACTGTGAGTGAAGTCCTGAGTGAATGTTAACATGAGCATGGCCATGTCCAGGACTCCAAGGCTTAGGCTGCTCAGGAATGGTAACACCTTACCTGGATAGGCTCAGAGAGATGGCGTATTAGTGTTTATGAATGATTGATCAGTGTCTGCGGAAACGAGCAGCTGCAGCTTCTTCCTCTCTGATGTTTTTCCAGCCTGAGATTGCTGTCCTACAGAGACCCCTACCCACACTAGCTAAACACTACCCCCACCCCACCACACTCCCCATCCCTGTGTGCTGAACTGATCCACAGGCTGAGGTTTTAGGAGCAGTGGGAGAACCCCAGTATTAATGTATGTGTGGCTGTGTATCATTTCTTCATTCCGTCACTGTTCCTAGTCAAGGTTCCAGAATCCAAGGCCAATGGGTTGCCACGATGTATAAATAATAATAGGTAAGATGAATATAGCATAGGAACAAATATTTCACTAAAAATTACTATGTTTGGGAAGATTTTCATTTATCTTACTGTTTGTGGTCATATTTGCAAATCCTGATAACTTTGACTATCTTTTTTTTTGTTTTGTTTTGTTTTTTTGAGACAGGGTTTCTCTGTGTAGCTTTGCGCCTTTCCTGGAACTCGCTTTGGAGACCAAGCTGGCCTCGAACTCACAGAGATCCGCCTGGCTCTGCTTCCCGAGTGCTGGGATTAAAGGCGTGCGCCACCACTGCCCGGCTAACTTTGACTATCTTAATGTCTGAGCGTCTCAAAATCCAACTTACTAGGCAACCAGTGAAACTATAATAGGTTCTCCTGCTAGTCTTCACAAAGCTGATAAATCCTCTTCCATACTTGTAATGCTTTCTAGAATATACTTTATAAAGAAGGCATCCTTAATGAATAACCCATGATCAATGGACACTAGAATCGTGTTAATTTCTACTTTTGTTCAGTCACCTGTGGGCTAATCTTTATCATTGCAGAGTTGATTTGTTTTTCTTAAAAGTTCTGTGCTATGAATGTTGCCCTGAGGAGCAATAAGGGTTTATATTTGATGTTAATAGTAAGCTAGTCTGGTAACATGAAAAATATATAATTCATCTTTTGGTTTTGTTTTTGACAGGGTCTTAATATAGTTTGGCTAACCTGGAATGCACTACATAGACCGGGGTGGCTTCAAACTCATAGAAATCCCTGCTTCTGCAGTGCTGGGATTAAAGGCATTAACTGACATGCCCGGTTATATATTTTTTCCCAAATAAAATTAGGGGTGAGGATATGACTCTGTCAGTAGAGTGCTTGCCAAGCGGTCCTGAGGGCCTCAGCACCCACATAAAAAGCTGGAAGTAGCTATGTACCTGGAATCCTCCTTTTGGGAAGGCAGAAAGGCAGGACCCTGGAACTCTGGCCAGCCAGACTAGCTGAATTGGTGAGCCCTGGGCTTAGAGAATCAGAAACACAGATGGAATGATTGAAGAAGACACCCAACACTGACCTCTGGCTGCTGCATACGCCCCCTAAATGCATACACCATACAAACACACACACACATTACTTTGGGGCTGTGGATAGTTCTGTGAGCTCCTGCCTGGCATTCACAAGGCCTTAGATTCAGGCCCATGGCTTCAAAACAAAAAGATGGTTTTCTGTGGTCTATACGTGTTTTACTTGGTCCTAAGTGGTGACAGAGGGCTGAAGCAATAATAGCTACCTAACCACTTGCCAGACATTTGCTTTACCCAGGCAAAGTCATTTAACCTTTGGTGTCTGAGTAGGTCCTATTATAGAGAAGGTAAGTCATTCATCTAGTGACTGAATGCTGGTTGGCCAGTATTCAAAGGCATTCTGGATCCAGAGCCACTACTATACTATACTAGCATCTCAATTACTAGTCTTTGTACTCTGTTACTCTCCAACATGTCCCTAAAAATTAAGATTCCTGATTTTTAGAAACATCAATTGCTAAGAAAGAGGAAAAATATCACTCTAGCAAAGCCATCTGTTTTACCACAATAATTCTCCAACAGGTTATCTTGGTTTCCTTGCCCTTTCAGTCTATAGCATAGTCTCTTAGCAGCAGAGCAAACCTTTTAAAACATCATCTGGGACCGGAGAGATGGACCAGCAGGAAAAAAAGACTCCAACCATCAAGCCTGAAGACCTGACCTTCAAATGTGTACCGTGGCACCCCCACCATAATGACAATAAATAGAATGGAATAAAAAAATTAGTCTGATTCTATTGTTGAAATCCAATGGATTTTCAGTGACATTTCTTGCACTGCCATATTTAGAATTGCAAGCACCAGCTGTCTCAATCCCTTTCATCATGCCTCACAGTTAACTTTTTTTTTTCTGAGACAGGATCTCATTGTGTAGACCTGGATAGTTGGACCTGATTATCTTTTAATCTTCCACTACAAAGGGATGCTGGCATTAAAGGTACGAATGCATCTTAAATGAGTTTTCTATTGTAGCATGATTAATATTAACTAAGAAGTTGGATTCTGGCCTGGAGAGATGGCTCAGAGGTTAAGAGCACGGACTGCTCTTCCAGAGGTCCTGAGTTCAATTCCCTGCACCCACATGGTGGCTCACAACCATCTGTAATGAGATCTGGCACCCTCTTCTGTATACATAATAAATAAATAATCTTAAAAAAAAAAAAGAAGTTGGATTCTAATCACAACCAGGTTGGTTATGGTGTTGTTGCACAATTTTGTGATTCATGAATTGGGTATAGAATTCATTACAGAATTATAGAAAGAACTCCCAATGAACAATAGCAAAACATGTTTTTTTTGTTTGTAGCCCAGGCTCTCTTGGAAATTGCAAGATTCCTGCCTCAATTTCCAGACTACTTAAGCTCCCTGCCATGCCTGGCAGAGCAAGGGATGTCTGGGGATGGAACAAGAACCAGGAACGGCAGGGGGAAATCGGATTGGTTAACTGAGCTGACTTTACTTTTTCATAAGGGTTAAAGCACTTCTTTTTTTGTTTGTTTGTTTTTTGTTTTTTCGAGACAGGGTTTCTCTGTGTTGCTTTGCGCCTGTCCTGGAACTCACTTTGTAGACCAGGCTGGCCTCGAACTCACAGAGATCCGCCTGCCTCTGCCTCCTGAGTGCTGGGATTAAAGGCGTGCGCCACCACCACCTGGCAAAGCACTTCTTTATGTCAACTAAAACGGGCCGGTTTGGGAGATCTGGCTGCTAGTTTCTTGGAAAGTCAGATAAGTAACTTAGTTTCTGCTTACTGTGGAACTTAAGGATGCTTGTCCCTTCTGACTTCATCTGGTGAACTCTGTAGAAGCTCAATTCAAACGAATGACCTCATAGATTTTTATTAACAGGTTATTAAGGGCCTTACAGGTGGTTCAGCTCTTAAGAGCACTTGCTGTTCTTCCAGAGGACCCACGTTCAGTTCTCAAGTCCCACATGGTGGCTCATAGCCATCTGTAACTCCAGTTCCCGAGGATTCAAGGCCTTCTCTTTACCTCCATGGGCAATGTACACATATGATTCACAGACACACATGTGGGCAAAACACCCATTCGCATAAAATAAAAATTAAAAGCAAAGGTATTAAAACGTGTGGTTCTTGCCTTAGAAGTAATTTCGGCTTCATTTTTTTCCTCGTGAGAAAAAAGCTCAACAATGTGAAAATCAATTCTTATATTCACCAGGGAATTGAGATCTCAGCAAAACCTCTCTCCACTCTCCACCCTGCAAACCGGAGCGAAGTGAAAACAAAAATATGACTCAAACGGAATCCATTGCTGGAGCCAGTAATTGACAGAGAGATAGGCTTGAAGCGTAATTACTAATGGCACAGCGGACACTGTGACGATGTTTAAACGCTCTGTATGTTTCTCTGAATTCATTAGTTTCGATTTTATAGAAGACAAAAGACCTATTCCATAACATAATGTTCAGCAGGGTTGGGTTTTGCTTCTCTAGGCCTGTTTCTTTATAAATGAGCCTTTAAGAACTTGGCTCTCCTTAAGGAGGGGTTTGGCGTCCATAACGACTTGAGGCGCCAGGACAACGCAAAGCAAGACCTGTGCAAGGCCACGCCCTAGCTAAATTCCGAACTCGCAAACACCGTGCCAGAACGCTGACCTATCCTTGGAAGTGAAGCAAATCCCAGTGAAAAAGCGAAGACAAAAACATGCACAAGCCTGGCGGTGGTGGCGCACGCCTTTAAACCCAGCACTCGGGAGGCAGAGCCAGGCGGATCTCTGTGAGTTCGAGGCCAGCCTGGGCTACCAAGTGAGTTCCAGGAAAGGCGCAAAGCTACACTGAGAACCCTGTCTCGAAAAACCAAAAAACAAACAAACAAACAAAAAACATGCACAAATTGACAGCCATCTAAAACACGTCGCTTCCGGCCACGGTACGCACGTGGCAGCGCGGGGGAGGGCACCGCTCCACAGCCCAGCTCGGCTCCCGTAGGGCTGGCCCCGCCCACACTTCCGCTATGGTAGCTCGTGTGCGTTCCGTGGACGGAAGTAGCTGTTGGGAGCGTTCAGACGCTTTAAATTCCTGCGGGGGTGGAGGCCTTGGCTTTCGGCTGGGGTCTGGCTTCTCACTGGCATGGCTGTGGACGTGAAGTCTCGAGCGAAGCGCTATGAGAAACTGGACTTCCTCGGGGAGGGACAGGTGAGGAGGCCCTGGGCTGATTCGGGCCCGTGCGGCCATTCTGGCGCGGGCGCATCCTGGCCACCGCGGGCGCTCCTCGGGGGAGGCTGGCCCGGACGGTGCCCCGCTTCCACCCTCCTGAGCCTTCCTCCCTTCTGGAGAAGAGGCCGCCCGACCACCTACCTAGCAAGCCGCTGCGAGTCGGCTCCGGAACCCGGGTTTAAAAAAAGAGGGGTGGGGGAGGACATCCGCAACCAACCATCATCACTTTTGCAAAGACCGCTCACGGATTTGTTCCTGTGTTTCCTTTTAGTTTGCTACGGTCTATAAGGCCAGAGATAAGAACACCAACCAAATTGTCGCCATTAAGAAAGTGAGTGTTACCTTTTTACGTTGTTTCCTCTCCCGTCTTTGTGTCTTCTTGCCTGCCACGTAGCCCTCGCTGGCACCGAGCTCGCTTATTTAGCGCCGACTGGCCTACAGCTTGCTGCTAGCCTTCCGCTTCTGCCTTGCAAGTGTTGGGTTCGCAGGCGTGCGCCGTGGCCCACGCCAGGCAAGTCTTAGAGAAAATATGTGTGCATTGTTAGTTGATTGTTTTTGAGACAGTCTTGCTATGTGGTCCAGGTTGGTCTCCAACCCGAGGAAATCCCCCTGCCTCAACTTGCCGAGTACCGGGATTGCAGATATGCTCTACGTTTGGCTTCATTTTAGTACGCACTGATGGTGGAAGTTACACGATTTCTAGAGACAATAGTGTTTATTAGTGTATTGTGTTTTAAGATGGAACTCGAGCTGAACCAGTTTTTGTTGAAACAATAAAAACTAGAACTTTTTTGTTCCATGAAAGTTGGTTGTTGCCGGGCGGTGGTGGCGCACGCCTTTAATCCCAGCACTCGGGAGGCAGAGGCAGGCGGATCTCTGTGAGTTCGGCCAGCCTGGGCTACAAAGCTACACAGAGAAACCCTGTCTCAAAGAAAAAAAAAAAAAAAAAAAAAGGTTGCTTGCTGGCCAAGGAGGCAAGTACTACCGTCTCCTCAATCCTTTTGGATGCCATGATCTTTCCAGGCCGCAGGTTGTTATATCTATGTTATCTGTACAGAAATGTTTTTATCGGCATTAACAACACAGATGCAGTGCCCTTTCTAAAATGATTGAAGTGATTTTTAAACTTAAATTCATTGACAACACTTCTGACATAGTTTCCTGTGTGCCAGACACTTTGATTTTTTTCCCTCAACCTAACCTTCCACACAGCCAGTAAAATAGGTAAAGGTGTCCTTGTCTCCCCCTTGCAGTCCCTGAGGCTAGGTGGATGATGACCTCAGTTCACACAGCTAGTAATTGCTGAGGCCAGGACGAGAGTGCAATTGTTGGCTGCTCTTTCTCACACTGCTGAAATCTGTAGCCATCTCAGGGCCACTCTGTTTTTCCTCACAGACCTCAGGGCCTGTTGGTGTCGTTGACCTCCGTCTTCCTGTGCTACTTTGAATGTTTCCTCCTTTGTAAACTCATTACTCCCTTGAAGTGTGGATGGTCAGGCTTCCATCTTCCAGCCTCCCAGGTACTCCCTTTCACTCACTTAGTACTTGGCTTGCTGTCTTCCTTTCAGGTGTTTCTGCTATTGTTATCTTTGTTTTAAGGAATTACTTTTGTATAAATAAATAAATAAATAAATAAATAAATAAATAAATAAATAAATAAATAAATAATTCTGGGCGGGGTGCGTGTGCCACAGTGCATGTGGAACTCAGAGGACAGCTTCGGAGCTGGTTCTCTTTCCATCTGTAGGTTCCAGGGATTGAACTCCAACTTGGCAGCAGGTGCCTTCACCCAGTGAGCCATCTTGCTGGCTCCTGTTTTATTTTTTCACTTCTCATATTCTTGTTTTCCAACTTGTGCTTTGTGATCTACAGCCATATTTCACTAAACTCTTGATTCTCTTAGCTGGACTTGGTGACTAATGCCCGTAATCCCAGCTACTGCAAAGGTTGAGGCAAGAGAATCAAAAGGCAGTATTTCCCAGTACTGGGGAGGTGCAGATAGGCAAATCCCCAAGGCTGGCTCCAATACCCTATTTGGTGAATTTAAGTGAGAGACACTGTCTAAAAAAACCAAGGTGGACAGTTTCTAAGGAAGGACAGCTGAGCTATCCTCTGGCCTGCACAAACTCAAATATACATACACACATAAAATTTAATACCTGCCTGGGCTAAAGAGTGAGTTTCAAGGCCAGCATAGACAACTTAGTAAGACCCTGTCCCAAAATAAAAAGTAAAAGGAGGCCTGGGCTCAGTGGTAGAGTATTTGCCTAGTATGTGTGAGGCCCACTGCTTTGAAAAACAAACAGTAGCAAACAAAACACCAAAAACCTCTCAAATATCTCTTTTCTTGAGATGGGAACTCTGGCCGGGCAGTGGTGACACACGCCTTTAGTCCCAGGGTATCAGTGCCAGCCTGGTCTACAGAGCGAGATCCAGGAAAGGTGCAAAGGTACACAGAGACCTTGTCTCGAAAAACAAAAAGATAAGAACTCTGTAGCCTAGGTTGGCCTGGAACTCTTTATATAGCCCAGGCAGACCTCAGCCTCTCAAATGATATTATTGTATGAGCCACTGTCCATCATCCCCTCTTAAGTCTGATGATGGCTTTGTCATCTTCAGGTCTACTTCTGGGTCACCTTATCCCAGCCACACTGACCTTTGTGTTCCTTTGGACATACTAATTTTTTTTAAATAATTTGCTTTTATTTCATGTACTTTGGTGTTTTGCCTTTGATGTTTTGCCTGCATGTATGACTGTGTGAGAGTGGCAGATCTTGGAGTTACAGACAGTTGTGAGCTGCCATGTGGGTGCTGGGAATTGAACCCAGGTCCTCTAGAAGAGTAGTTAGTGCTCTTAAGCACTGAGCCATCTCTCCAGCTTGGACATGTTAAATTTGTTCTAGTCCCTGGATCGTTGTATTTTCTCTTTCAAGGTTGCTGTGTTTCTCGCTAGAACTGGGTGTGGCTGAATTCTTATTTAGGTTTCTCTCCCTCTCTGTATATGCAGCAGAATAGGTGTTCCACTTTCCTTCCCTGTTCTTTGCAATTCTTCATTCTGTATCATCTTCATGTCATTATCATAACCTGAAATCCTTCCATCTGAGTTCATTGCCCACAAAAATCTATTCACATTATACCTGGACTGTGATGAGCACGTATGTAGGCGTTTGTTTATTATGTTTGTGGGTGTTTTGCCTGCATGTTTGTCTGTACAACTATGTATAGAGGCCAAAAGAGTGTCTTATCCTGAGACTGGTGTTCTAGATGATTGTAAGCTACCATATGGGCAGTGGGAGTCAAACCCAGGTTCTCTGGAAGAGCAGCCAGTGCTCTTACTCACCGAGCCACCTTACCTGACCTGACTTATCTGGATACAGTGGAGTGTGTTCTTAGGAGCCATATAGGAGGATCATCTGAGTCTAGGAATTCAATCCAGCCTGGGCAAACAGTACACTCTGTATCTAAAACAAAGAAGACCTTGAGTTGACTGGTAGTCTTTTCACATGGTTGACATACTGGGTTTTGTAATTGTAAGTACAAGTGGGTTTTCTTGTCTGCTTTTAACATTCATTAGGATTTAGAAGCCAGCTTGTTTCTCCTTTTTAAAAGCCCTATGACCTGACTGCAAAGTTACTGTGTAGGAGAGAATGATCTTAAACTCCTGCCTCTGTCCCTGTGCTAGGTATCCTGTGTCATTACAAAATGGTTCCTCCTTGAAGGTAACTTAAATGCTCTTTTTTTTTTTTTTGGGTTTTTCGAGACAGGGTTTCTCTGTGTAGCTTTGCGCCTTTCCTGGAACTCACTTGGTAGTCCAGGCTGGCCTCGAACTCACAGAGATCCGCCTGGCTCTGCCTCCCAAGTGCTGGGATTAAAGGCATGCGCCACCACCGCCCGGCTTAAATGCTCTTTTTATTTCATTTCAAATAATTCATTTTTGTGGTTTTAAAAGTTACTGATAAGCAAAGGCTTTTAGCATGCTATACCATCTCTTGTTTTGATTTTTCAGTTTCTTTAACTTTGCACTGATGCTTATCTCCAGAACATCTGGAGTAGCTCGTTTGTGGGTCTCCCCTCCCCACCTTGGACAGTATTTGTACTTTCTTCTGTGAACATTGAGGATTTAGTGCTGTGAACCTTCCTTCTCCAACACTCATAATTTCTACTCATGTTCATTTGTTAACACCCTCTTTGATTTTACAAAAAAAAAAAAACTCATTAAACTGCTTTTGCATTTATTATGACTTGGACTTCTTCTTAAAATACTGCTGATGTGACTTAGCAGTTAGGAGCACTGGCTGTTCTTATAGAAGACCCAAGTTTGGTTCCCAGAACTCATGTGGTGACTAACAACTGTCTGCTACTCCTGTTCCAGGAGAGCCAACACCTTCTGTCCTCCACAGGCTCAAGGCATGCATGTGGTCCACAGACATACGTGCAGGCAAAACACCCATACACATAACATAAATGTTTTTTAAAAAATGACATGGAATTGCTGTGTTTTCTGTTTCCCAACCTAACTTAGCCAGTTTGCCCTGTTGGCTTTTGGGTCATTATCTCTATGTTCATTGCTGTATGAGTGCGGCTTATAGGTATTTGTGGTGCAGGCACATGATTTTTCAGGTCTCCCCGTGCACAGGCCGCTGGAGTAGGCCATCTGATGACTTCCTCCATTGTTCTTTGCTTTAATTGCCTTTGAAACAAGGTCTCTCAATAAAAGCAGATGCTTGCTATTTTGGTTTGGCTAGCAAGGCAGGCTGGCTGGCTGGCTCACCAGCAAGCTCTCTCGAATCTTTCTGTCCAGTGATGGGACTTGAGGCACACATAGCCACGGCTGGCCTTTTACCTGGGTGCTGGGGACTTGAATTCACATCCTCACGCTTGTAGAGCCAGTGTTAACCCACTGAACTAATTCCAGGACTCCTCTCCCCCTTAAAATTTTATGTATATGTATGCATGTGTGCCTACATGAGTATGTATATAGATTGAGCCCAGGGCCTTGAGCATTCTAGGCAAGTGCTTTGTCATTAAGCCACATTCCTAGCCTGTATTATTGATTTTTGTTTTTAATTTTTAAGTATTTTGTGTTTGTCTCTGTATTTCTGTGGGTGAAAGCACATGCTGCTCTCTTAGAGGACATGTGTGTAAGTGTATAAGGGAGAATGGAGTGAAGTCTTGGAGTTGTTTTAAAATTTTAGCTGACTTAAGCGTAACAAAATACTAATCACAAATCTTGGTGATAAAGGACTTCATGAGATTATTCTTGTTTGTTTGTTTCTGTTCTTTTTTGTTTTGTTTTTTGTTTTTGAGAGAGAGTTTCTCTGTGTAGCCCTAGCTGTCTTAGAACTCCCTTTGTAGACCAGGCTGGCCTCAAATTCACAGAGATCCACTTGCCTCTGTCTTCCAAGTGCTGGAATTAAAGGTGTGTGCCACCACCACCCAATTTGCGATTTTTCTTTTTCTTTTCTTTTTTTTTTTTTTTTTTATTTTTGGTTTTTCGAGACAGGGTTTCTCTGTGTAGCTTTGCGCCTTTCCTGGAACTCACTTTGTAGACCAGGCTGGCCTCGAACTCACAGAGATCCGCCTGCCTCTGCCTCCCAAGTGCTGGGATTAAAGGCGTGTGCCACCACCGCCCGGCCCTTCTTTTCTTTTTTCTTTTTTTCTTTTTTTAAATTTTATGTGCATGTGTTTTACCTACACGAGGGTGTCAGCTACCCTGGAACTGGAGTTAAAGACAGTTGTGAGCTGGTATGTGGGTGCTAGGAATTGAACGTGGGTCCTCTGGAAGAACAACCAGTGCCCTTAACCACTGAACTATCTCTCTAGTCCCTGAGATTATTCTATTTTTATTGTGTGTCTATTTGAGTTTTTTCCCATATAAATTTCATAATCAGTTTGTCAGTTCCCTGTGTCTTATAATTGTGCTGTAATACGTGGCTTACTTTTAAATAGAAGGTTCTCTTTGTAGCATACATTAGGAACATTTTTTAAGGAAGAATAAGTGTTTTCCAGAGGTAATCCTTTCAGTGATTGACAACTCTTGTATAAAGTAGTAAGGAGCAGAATACTCTTTGACCTGGTCCTAGCGGTGGTGGCGCACGCCTTTAATCCCAGCACTTGGGAGGCAGAGGCAGGCGGATCTCTGTGAGTTCGAGGCCAGCCTGGTCTACAGAGTGAGATCCAGGAAAGGCGCCAAAGCTACACAGCGAAACCATGCCTCGAAAAACCAAAACAACAACAACAAAAAAGACTAACCTCCTAACATGGTGTTACGCTCAGTGTTAACCATATCTTACATCCATCACATTTTGTAAGTTTGCTTTGTGAAAAACATAGGATTATTGGGCATATATGTTATTTTCTTTTTATGTTACTTTTTTCTCCTAAGTATACTAAATAGAAGTAATTTGGGGGAAATAAATTAGCATACTCTCAGTTATCCGGTCTGTATTTAACTTGAAAAGATGAAAGGAGGTCTGGGTGTGGTGATTAACACATCCAATCCTAGCATTTCAGAGGTTGAGATGTGGATTTGAAAGTTAGGGCCACCCTGGACTACATACAGCAAGACCCTTTCTCAAAAACAAAGCAAAATAAACAGAAGCTTAAACTTAAGCCAGGTGGTGGTGGTACACCTTTAATCCCAGCACTCCTCAGGAGGCAGAGGCAGGCAGGTCAGTGTGAGTTCGAGGCCAGCCTGGTCTATAGAGTGAGTTCCAGAACAGCCAGGGTTACATAGAGAAACCCTGTCTCAAAAAACACCCAAAAAGCAAAAAAGGCGGCGCATGAAGGAGTCCGTTACTACTTGTAAGTGTTTCCACGTACCACAGCATGCTCTGAAGGTCAGGACAGCTTGTGGAGTTCTGCCCTTGCACATTGTGGGTCCAGGGGGTTGACCTCAGATTGTAGAGTGTCAGATGAGCCTTGTTGAGTTCAGTTGTTTAAATGTGTAGTTCAGAAACCTAAAGTAGATGATTGGTTCACTTTGGCCCTGCTGTGCTGGAGCTCAAACTCTGCCATGGACGCCTTATGACTCTGCTCCTGAGCAATACCTTCAGCCTTTGGATTTCCGATTGTTCTCATGAGCTACATATTATAACTACGTGCTTTTACTGTGGCTCGTTTTTTAAGACAGTGTCTAGAACTCGGTATGAGTGCTGAGATTAAAGGACTGCACCTGCAGTCCCAGCTGTTTGATTTATCTGAGGCAGAATCTTACTATGGAGCCCAGGCTTTGCCTCTCAAGTATTGAGACTACAGGAGTGCACCACCATGCTGGTCCTGTTTGTAGCTACACCTTTGTGCATATAGATTATATATTAACCCATGGTGAGTTTTTGCTTGGTCTTCTTTCTAAACTTTTTGTTACTTTGTGTGTATCGGTGTTTTACCTCCATGTACGTCTGTGCACCACTTGTGTGCCTAGTTCTGTCCAAGGTCAGACGTGGGTGTTAGATCCCACTGGACCTGGCGGTTGTGAGCTGTTGTGTGGGCACTGAGAATTGAAGTTGGATTCTTTTGGAATCAGCCCATGAGTGTTCTCAGCCCATGAACCATCTCCATCCTAAACACATTGTTAATGTATATGTTTTGTTTTCTCCCCCGCTCCCCTTCTCTCCCAGATCAAACTTGGACACAGGTCAGAAGCTAAAGATGGTAAGTATTAAATATAATTTAATCAAATAAGAGATGTGTTTATTCTGATCTGAGGAGATGAGGAAAATATCAATTAGAGCTGATAATAATTCTGTAGCATTTATCACAGTGTCTCCAGAACAGTGGCTCTCGACCTCTGGGTCTTGACTCCTTTGGAGATCAAGCACCCCTTTCACAGGGGTGGCATATCAGATATCTTGATCAGATATTTACATTATGATTCATAACAGTAGCAAAATTACAGTTGTGAAGTAGCAACACAAATTCATAGTTGGGGTCATTACAGCATGAATTGTATGAAAGGGTCACAGCATTGGGAAGGTTGAGAACCGCTGGTCTAGAGAGTAAAGAGTCCTGTCAGAAACAACATTTGTGCATTGCGAGGATGCGGATCGTGTAAGTGGAGGGCAGTGAGGTTGTTGGGCCCTTGTCTGGATGTCCTCCGTACTGCTCGGTAAGCCATTGTAAGTCATTGCCTTTTGCATTCCTGGTTTGCTAATTGCTTTGAGAGATTCAGGGATACATCTTCACAGAAGAACACAAAGTTCCTCTGGAATGGACACACTTCTTATTCTCAAGCCCCTTAGAGTGTCGGGTCTGTTTATCAAAATAATAGTTACTGTGAAAATGTCATCATCTGTGAAAGTGCCAGCACTGGGTTTTAATTTTGATTTCTATCATTTGTATTGAAAAAAGGTATCCTTAATGCTAATTTGCTATTAGCACACATCGTCTTCCTCTAGTTTATAGGACAGGAGAAAAGACCCTATTACCACATGTCTGTTACATGTCTATATATGTTATTGTAATGATTTTCAGAATGATATAGAAACAAGTATTTTCTTCATCATTTTTCATAGACTACGTTAAGCTGCTTTTTAAAAAAATTTATTATGTATACAGTATTCTGCCTACTTGCCAGAAGAGGGCACCAGATCAAATTATAGATAGTTGTAAACCACTATCTGGTTGCTGGGAATTGAACTCAGGACCTCTGGAAGCAGCCAGTGCTCTTAACCTCTGAGCCATCTCTCCAGCCCCATATGTTAAGCTACTTTAAAACAATGTGAGAAAAAGAACTTTCTCGTACAAATAGTAAAAATTATTCATTTTTGTGTATGAAATGTTTATTTCTTGAAGTGACCTTTCCTTAAAAAAAAAAATTTGTAAAAGGTTTGAGATTTCAGAATTATTGTTCATTTTTTGCATTCTTTTTCCATAGGTATAAATAGAACAGCCTTAAGAGAGATAAAATTGTTACAGGAGCTAAGTCATCCAAATATAATTGGTGTGAGTATGATCTAAGTTGTTTGCTTTTGGGGATTCTCCATATTCTGAGTATGATGAATATTGATCAGAGGCTCAGCAGGATGAGTTGATAGAGATAAGCCTTGAAAGTTGATCAGCTTGAAATTCTTTTCTTTTTTTTTTTTTTTTCTGAGACAGGTTTTCTCTGTGCAACAGTCCCGGCTGTCCTGGAACTTGCTTTGTAGACCAGGCTGGCCTCAAACTCATTGAGACCCACCTGTCTCTGCCTCCCAGTTGCTGGGATTAAAGGTGTGCACTACCACCACCCCACTAAATGTGTTTTCTATCCCATTTTTGCTATAAGTAGTATAATTAGCATTATGAATATAACTGATGAAATGAATCAGATGTTGCCAAACAGGCTAATTTTGTCAGAGATGATTTTGAATCCTAGAGAGCTGTAGCCACAGGGTTAAAAGTAAGCAACTTGCATTTAAATACAGAACCTTTCTTTTTGCCTGCATGAGGGCTGGAGTGGGTTCTTTTGATTTTTTCAGGCTAGCCAATTGAAAACATTTATGGTGTCTGCAGTGAGGCCTGCCATGGACAATCACACAAAGGATGGCAGATGCTATTTAGAAGATACTCTTTGTTCTTGTGTTGTTTTGTTTGGCGGCCTTTTGTGTAGTGTAGCTTCGAACTCATGGGCTCAGGTGCTTCTTTCTGTCTTGTCTCCCAAGTAATTAGTGTTTGTGGGGTATCCACCAGAGAAGACAGCTCAGGCATGGCTTAAGCCAGTGGACAGTCTTATTAACTGGCTGGCGAGTCCACTGAGTGTTTGGAACCCAGTATAGCACCAAGCTGTTCTCAAGGTGAGCTTTTAAGCACAAAAACCACATTCTGGGTCGACATTCTTCAGTTAACAAGAACAGTTAGCCAAAATTGGAACTACAGAAGCCAAAAAAAGTTAGTGCATTTTCCCAGAGCTATGGACTTGGATGGATTAGGTCTTCGTTTTCATTTTGGCAGGTGGTACTGCCTACATGCTGAGTTTTATGACCTGAATGGTACTTCCATCATGGAGTCAGTTGTGCTAAGGTGTGGGCCCTGTTACAGTTAGTTACTGTAATTACGGTACTGGAACTACAAGGTATATCGCTGTACTTGGCAAGAATTTTCTTAAGCAATTTGCTTAGATATTTTTATTTGTTTTTTTGAGACAGGGTTTCTCTGTGTAGCCCTGCCTATCCTAGAATTCACTCTGTATCCTCTGACTCAGAGATCCATTTGCCTCTGCCTCCTGAGTGCTGGGATTAAAGGCATATGCCACCATGCCTGGCAAAAAAAATTTATAAAAATTAAGAATGTTTTTCTTTTCTCACATTTTGTGTGTGTGGTGTGTGTGCATGTGTATTTACCCATGTTTTGTCTGTGCATGTGTATTTGGAGGTCTGAGGTTTATATAGGATATCATTTTCTATTACTTTTCCATCTTATGCATTGAGGCAGAATCTCACTCAAAACCAGAACTCAGTGATTTGGTTAGTTTTGTTAACTAACTTGCTCTGGGAAACCCGTCTTCACCTTCCGAGGCTGGAATTGCAGGCACACCTTTCTTACCTGACTTTTATGTAGTTTCTGAAATATGAACTCTGGTCCAGTCTTCATGTTTGTATGGCAAGAGCTTTAAATGCTGAGCCATATTCCCAGTCCCAGGAATTTTTTTCAACTAGATATCAAGGTGAAATTTTCTTTTCTTTTCTTTTTTTTTTTTTTTTTTTTTTTTGTTTTGTTGTTTTGTTTTGGTTTGGTTTGGTTTGGTTTGGTTTTTGAGACAGGGTTTTTCTGTGTAGCCTGTCCTGGAACTCTCTCTGCCTCAAACTCAGAAATCCACCTGCCTCTGCCTCCTGAGTGCTGGCATTAAGGCGTGTGCAAGCACCACCACCACCACCACCACCACCAGGGCTGTGAAATTTTCATTAACTTATTTATTCTAATTCTTGGGGTTTAAGGAGAAGAGTTTTTAAGTTTTTAGTGAATTTGTTAAATAAGGTTTAATATTTTTGTGCCTAAGAAAACTAATTCCTGTTGAAAAAATGGGACAAATGTTAAATTTAATAAAGGACTTTCAGGTTTACAGGAAATTACCAGCAGTTTAAAAATTTAAGCCACGTAGTGCACATTTGTATTATAATTACATGAGAGGTAGAGGCAGAGACAGGAGGATTATGAGTTCAGGCCAGCCTGGACTACGCAGCAACTTCTAGGTCAGCCTGAGTTACATAGTGATAATGTGGTCTCAAAAGACCAAGGACTGGGGGATGTATCTTTGTGGTAGAACACTTGCCTAGCCAGCTCACTTTGTGGGTGGAGGGGGGCAAATAACTTTTTAAAATTACTTCAGTGATAAATTCCAACATTAAATAGAGAGTAACAATTTAACTGCTTTGCTTTGCAGCTCCTTGATGCGTTTGGACATAAATCTAACATTAGCCTTGTCTTTGATTTCATGGAAACTGACCTGGAGGTAAGGGTAGGGTTCCTAGAGACTCTCCACACTCAGTGAGAGAAAAACCTGCATGCTTATTCTGCTTTAAGAGGATACTGACCCACAAAAACTACTTTACTTTTGCAGAAGTCAAAACGATCGCTGATTTCTGTACATTTGCTGTATTTCTAGTGTAGAGATTCAGATTTTTTAAAGTCTCATGCTTTTCATTAATTGAATCTCAGAAAAACTGACAATCCAAGGTTTTAAAACAACTAGGATCCTCATACATTGCTGGTTTGAACCCAATAGTTTTTTGTGTGTGTGTGTGTGTGTGTGTGTGTGTGTGTGTGTGTGTGTGTAATATATATTATATATGTTTATTATATATATAATATTTTTATATATTTATATGTAAGTATAATATACATTATAGTAACTTTGGAAAATAGGACAGTTTGTTATAAAATCAAAGATACATTTACTATCAGTTCAAAGGTAAAAGGATTTTTTTTTTTTTTTTTTTTTTTTTTTTTTTTTTGGTTTTTTGAGAAAGGGTTTCTCTATGTGTAGCTTTGCACCTTTCCTGGAACTCACTCTGTAGCCCAGGTTAGCCTCAAGCTCACAAAGATCCGCCTGCTTCTGCCTCCCAAGTGCTAGGATTAAAGATGTGTGCCGCCACCGCCCGGCTTTTTTTTTTGTTTTATTTTGTTTGGGAATTTTTATAACACAGCATCAAATAGTAAAAGAAATTCACTAAGTATGCAGCCTGGTGACAATACTGTATCTTTTTTTTTAAGTTGTATGAGCATTCAATTTATTGATCTTTGGGGGAATGTGATATACTGTCACTAGATTACAACTGAGCCATTAGTCTTATCACTTCATCAACATTAGCTGGTTCATTTTCACGGTGCTTCAGCTCTTTCTGCACAGATTCAAGAGAAAGGCTTTTGGAAAAGTTTGCAAGTTCTTTCTGTGTATTTACAAAAGCTGTGTTGATTCTGTTGACTTTTTCATCATTCATAATGTCTAGCTTCTTAAGATCAATAGTGACTAGGGGTTGGAGATTTAGCTCAGTGGTAGAGCGCTTGCCTAGCAAGCGCAAGGCCCTGGGTTTGGTCCTCAGCTCTGAAAAAAAAAGATTAGTAGTAACTGGTTTTGCCTTGTTTTTACCTTTGAGGGCTTTTTCCCTGGCTATGTAAAATACATTCCTGAACTTCTGCCCTTTTAATTTGTTCTTGGCCATTGTCAAAACTGCAAAACGCACGTGGCTGACTGTTCAGGTTCCCAGTGACGCCATCCCAATGCTATATCTTATTATAGGGCCTAGCATGAGTAACACTAATTCACCAGTATTATACTATGTATAATAATATAAGTAATATCGCAGTCATTAGTAATAATAATGTAATTTGTCGACCACTGATTGCTATTTATCCAAGAGAAAAACATTGTCAACACAGAAATCACTTGGTGTATGAGTGTTCACTAAAATTGGAAACAGCCAAAACGTGCTTCATCTAGTGGATGTTTAAACAGATTAGTCACCCATACAAGAAAACAGTACCCAGGAATAAAAAAGGAACCAAAGTCCAACCATTAACTGGCTGTGGCAGAGCTTACAGTAATCTCTTTGGAGTCAGTCCTCTTTTCCTCTCTGTAGCTGTCAGTCATGGGCACACATTTCCACTCTACTTTCCCAGGCAATTCCAAGTCTGATAGTCTTAGTGTAATTACCCCTGTAAGGAAATGCTTGGTTTCCTTTGATTTTTGTTTGTTTTTTGTTTTGTTTTGTGTAGTCCTGGCCATCCTGGAACTTCCTCTGTAGACCAGGCTGGCTTTGAACTCAGATCTGCCTACCTGTGCCTCCTGAGTGCTGGGACTAAAGGTGTGCTGCACTACCACCACCACCACCACCACCACCACCACCGGTCATTATTTGGGTTTCTTTAATGGTGTTAGGTTTTAGGTCATAGGTCATGTGTTTGTTCTTAAGCAGCCTGTCTCTTGGCCAAGAGGCTTCAGTGTGGAGGTCTCAGGTAGAGGTTAGGTCAGTCTTACTTTTACCATGTGTGACCTAAGCTGGGATGAGTTGATTTCCCAGAGTAACACTGAATGCACTTGTCAGAAGGGGCAAACAAAACCGACAGACATTCAATACTTTTTTCTTTTTTTAAAGATTTATTTATGTTCATTGGTGTTTTGTCTGCATGTATATCTGTGAGTGTGTCAGATCCCCTGGAACTAGAGTTACAGACATTTGTGAACTGTCATGTGGGTTCTGGGAATTGAACTTGGATCCTCTGGAAGAGCAGCCAGTAATCTTAGCCACTGAGCTCTCTTTCCAGCCCCGATATGCAATACTTCTAAACCAGAGTTGTAGGGTACACACACAGTATTGCTTTCTCTCGAAATCGATGATGCTTTTTTAACCACCGAATTTTGGAAATTCATGTGATATCTTCTAAAGTGAAGTTGAATAGTCTCTCACTCACAGAAATACTTGTGTATGGATACATTCATTTTAAATCTTTTTTTTTTTTTTTAATTTCTTAGAGTTCATTTGGAATAATGAAACATACCTGTATGTTGCTTGTCTACTTTGTAGGTTATAATAAAGGATAATAGTCTTGTGTTGACACCATCCCACATTAAAGCCTACATGTTGATGACTCTTCAGGGGTTAGAGTATTTACATCAGCATTGGATTCTACACAGGGTAAGATTTTAAGTAATTAACCATCCATCCATGAGAGGGCGAGGTCTTGCTTTGTATTCCAGGATGGTGCCCAGGGTCGCCTCAAATTCTTGATTCTTCTGACTCCTGATTGCTGGGATTGTAGGTGTATTTCACCACACCTGACTTTTAATGTTGCTGCTTAAGTTTAGGCAAACTTTTTGTCATTGGTCAGTTCAGGTTTCTATTTTATTTATTTTGAGTGCATGTGTATGTGAGTACAGGTACATGACTGGAGGAGGGGGTGTGCACAGTATATATGTGGAAGCCAGATGACAGTTCCCAGGGGTCACTTCTCTCCTGCCACTCCAGCTTCTGAGAATAAAATTTAGGTCATTAAGTTTACTGCAAATAGCTCTTACCTTGCCAGTGGGTTTTGTTTTGAAGATAGTCTTCCCCTGTAGCTAAATATCTTAGTTAGGGTTTCTGTTGCTGTGAAGAGACACCATGATTACAGCATCTCTTATAAGGAAAACATTTAATTGAGGGTGGCTCACTTGCAGTTCAGAGGTTCAGTTCATCATCATCATGGTAGGGAGCATGGCAGTGTACAGGCAGATGTGGTGCTGGCTACTTCTTGATTAGAATGAAACAGGAATTGGTCTGTATGTTACACTGAGGGAAGCTTGAGCAAAAGAGACCTCAAAGCCCACCCCACAGTGACATACTTCCTCCAGCAAGGCCACACCTACTTCAACAAAGCCACACCACCTAATAGTGCCACTCCCTTTGGGGACCATTTTCTTTCAAAGCACCACACCTAGACTGCCTGTATATTCATTGTCCTTTGTCTTAAGTTTCCTAAGTGCTGGGGTTACCAGTGTGTGCCAGTATGCCCAGTTTTCTTGTTTTAAAGTTAAACTAACTGGAGCTGGGGACATAGCTCGGTTGGTAAAATTCATGCCCAACATATATGAAGTCCTGCATCCCAGTCCTCAGCACCATATTTGCTACCTAATTTGCAATCCCGCAGTAAAGGTGGTAGCAACAGTAGTTGCTGGGAGTAAAGGTAGAAGCAACAGAAATTCATGGTTGTCCTTTTTGACTACATAGTGAATTCAAAGCCAGCCTGGGCTACATAAGACTGTCTCAAATAAATAGGCTAGCTAAATGTCTCATTATGTTGTTTTCCTCTAATCCTGCTTGATTTTGTTTGTTTGTTTTGATAACTGTTTGATGCAGGATCTGAAACCAAACAACTTGTTGTTGGATGAGAATGGAGTTCTGAAACTGGCAGATTTTGGCCTGGCCAAATCATTTGGGAGTCCTAATAGGGCTTACACGCATCAAGTTGTGACCAGGTGAGGACACCTTAAGAAACTGAGAGTTCATGTTCATAATTGACCACTAATGAACATCAGCTAGCTTCTCTGAACTACCTTTGTAGAACTCAGGAGTGAGTCACCATTGGTGTCATCTCAAATATAGCCCTTTTTATATTAAGTCTACTTTGCCACAGTGAAAAGCACACAGCTCTTTCAGACAGAATCTAATTAACTCAGTCCTCAGACATATTTTTGATGAGCAAGTGATTAACTGATCTACATCTTGATTCTCACAATAACTTTTTTAACTCAAAAAATTGTAAATGGGACATGGGTGTCAAGCTCCTTTAATCCTAGCACTCAGGAGGCAGAGGCAGGCAGGTCTCAAGTTGAGGCCAGCCTGGTCTACAGAGCTAGTTCTAGGACAGCTGGGACTACACAGAGAAACCCTGTCTTGAAAAACAAAACAAGTGTGTGTGTGTGTGTGTGTGTGTGTGTGTGTGTGTGTGTTAATTAAATGCACATGTACGTATATGAATGTCTGTGTATGAGTGATGGCATGCTTGTGCCATTGTATAGTGGTCTGGAGTTAACTCTTGGAAATCATTCTTCATCCATCTAGGGTTCTGGGGACCAAATTCGAGTTGACAGGCTTGCATTGCAAGCACGTTTATTTCACTGGCCCACTTTTCATTTTGTTTGTGTGACTGAATAGCTCACTCTGGATATAACACAGGGTCTTGGGCTTCCTAAGCAAATGTTTAACTTCTTTTTCCTACATAGGAGAGGGGCCACCTATGTGTCTGGAGGCCAAAAGACATCTTCAAGTGTAGTTCCTTGGTGTGTGTGTGTGTGTGTGTGTGTGTGTGTGTGTGTGTTCACATATTGGGGGGTGCATGTGTTTGGAGGCCAAAGGCTGACATCAAGTGTCTTCTTGAGTCTCTCTCCAGCTTACATATTGAGGCAGAGTCTCTCTCTTAGACCCAGAGCTTGCTAATTCAGTCAATTTAACTACCTTGGTTGCTCTGGGGATCCCATCTCCATTTCCCTGAGCACAGGTGAATCACCAAGATTGCCTGGCTTTGACATGGGTGCTGGGGTCCAGAACTCTGTTGTAATGTGTGTTCAGCAAGCACTTTACTCACTGAGCCGTCCCCCTCCACTTTGATCTCTGGGATAGGTCTCTCACTGGAATCTGGGCTCACTGATTAGCCCCGAGTTGCTGGCCAGTGAATCCCAGGCATCCTCCTGTTTCTGCCTTCCAGCCTTGGAATTAAATGCATGTACTACCATCCCTGGCCTTTTTACATGTGTGCTGGGATCAACCTCAGGCCTTAACGCTTATGTGGGATGTGCAGGGAAAATAAACGGAGCCATCTTTCCCACTCCCACAAGTGCTCCACATCTTAGCCACACACATGGTTGAGAAGAATTTATTCTGTTCTTGCATTTTAATTAGATAAGCTGCAACTCCAGTGGCCTTGTATTTCAAATTTATTAGCCCTGCGCTTATTATATTTGTCAATACTGATCCTATAGTCTCTGTGTGGATGTAATTTCTCTATGCAAAGCATTAATAGTTACATTTTATATTATAAAAAATTGTGGTTTTTGTTCATACTTTTGTTATGTCAACACAAAAAAAAATCACACTAGGGACTACAGATTTTATAATTCTTGTCATAGTGGCTTTGTTTTTCTTTCTTTCTTTCTTTTTTTTTTTTTCATTTGAAATGGTCTCATATAACCCTGGACAGGCTCCAAATGCTCTGTTTATCTAAGGATGACTTTGAACTCCCTACCCACTTCTACCTGGTGTTGGAATGATAGATGTGTGTCATCACATCTGGTCTGCCTTTGTTTTGTTTGTTTGTTTGGTTGGTTGGTTGGTTGTTTTTTTGTTTTGTTTTGTTTGTTTTGTTTTTTGGAAACAGTTTCTCTGTAGCCCTGGCTGTCCTGGAACTCACTCTGTAGATCAGGTTGGCCTCGAACTAAGATCCACCTGCTTTTGCCTCCTAAGTGCGGGGACTAAAATTATGCACGGCCTGGCCTGCATTTGTTAATTCGTAAGATTTTCAAGGATCTGAGAAAAATTTCAGATTCTTCCATAAATTATTTTGTTACCTTCTTCCAATTAAATTTTATGAATATCAGTTACTTGACCACACACGCACAAGTAAAAAGTAGGGGCTATGAATACTGGAAAGATTTCAACAGTTGGATTACCAGAGTGATGAAGTTGACAAAGCAGAGTGGTAGGGATAAAAACCCTGATTTTAAAGGTTATGGGGCCCTTTTTCATGGCATCTCCTAGGCGGTCGGTCGGCTGTGTCAAGATGAAGCTGAATATCTCCTTCCTAGCTATTGGTTGTCAGGAACTCGCTGAAGTGGATGATGAACCAAAACATACTTTCTATAAGAAGCACATGACCACAGAAGTTGCTGTTAATGCTCTGGGTGAAGAGTCGAAGGGTTATGTGGTCTGAATCAGTGATGGGAACAACAAACAAGGTTCTTCTGTGAAGCAAGGTATCCTGATGCACGGCAGAATGCACCTGCTGTTGATAAGGGCCTTCTTGGTAGAGACCAAGGAGAACTGGAGAGAGGAAGGGCAAGTCTATTTGAGGGTACATTGTGGGTGCCAGTCTGAGTGTTTTCAACTTGGTGTATTGTAAAAACAAAAAGAGGGAGGGAAAGGGATATTCCTGGACTTGAAGGATACTACTGTGCCTCTGAGGTTGGAGCCCGAAAGAGCTAGCAGATTCTGAAAACCTTTTAGTCTCTCTAAAGAAGATGATGTCTGCCAACATATTGTTTGAAAGCCCAGGACCAACGAAGTTACCCAGGATTCATCGTCTTTGTTACCCCACACACCCTACAGCATAAACACGAATGCACTGCTCTGAATAAACAACACTAAGAAAAATAAGAAGGAAGCTGCAGAATAAACTTTTGGGCAAGGGAATGAAGGATGTCAAAGACTCCAGGAACAGATCTCCAAGAGACATGGGCAGGGTTGTTCTGTGTAGCCCTGGCTGTCCTGGAACTCAGAGATCCACCTACTTCTGCCTCCCAAATGCTGGGATTAAAGATATGCACCACCTCTGCCTGGCTTCAAAAATCAATCTTTAATCATAACATAAATGATCAGACCTTTAAAAGATTAATATAAAGAGTTTAGGGGCCAGATGTGTTATCACACTTGAAATCCCAGCACTTCGAACGCAGAGGCAGGAGGATCAAGAATTCAAGATATGGGCTGGGGAGATGGACTCAATGAATCAGAACACTGGCTGCTCTTCCAGAGGTTCCGAGTTCAGTTCCCAGCAACTTCATGGTGGCTCAAACAGTCTATGGTGGGATCTGCTTGCCGCCCTCTTCTGTCATAAAGATGTACCTGCAGATAGAGCACTCACATACGTAAAATAAATTAAAAAAAAAAAATTCAAGGGGTACCTTAAGTACATGATCTTGAGACCAGCCTGGGCTGCCTAAGATCCTGTTTCAAAAACAAAAACAAAAAAATTAAAATCAGGAAATTTAGGGAAGAATGAGAGAAGAGTTGGATGCAAATAGATTTTAGAGAAGTGATATTAGCATGTTAATGGGAAAAGTCTAGTAGAAAGCAAAGAATTTATAATGGGAGGGCTGGAGAGATGGCTCAGCGATTAAGAGCACTGACTGCTCTTCCAGAGGACCTGGGTTCAATTCCCAGCACCCACATGGCAGCTAACAACTGTAACTCCAAGATCTGACACCCTCACATAGACATACGTGCAGGTAATGCACCAATGCAAATAAAGTAAAAATAATTTTTTAAAAAAAGAATTTATAATGGGAAAGTGGAGGGAATTTCAAGAATAGTGTTCTTGAGAACCGGCAAGGCAGGGTGCTTCAGGACTCGTGGTGAGTGATTGGGTCTAAAAACATGCAAGGATAGTTCATCCTAACAATTAGCCTTGCTGGACTTGGTAGCACATCCCTTTAATCCTAGCATTTGGGATTTGGAGGTCAGCCTGGTCTACATAGTGAGTTCCAGGACATCATCAGAGCTACTGAGTTGAGACCATGTCTCAAAAGAATAAAATAAAATAAAGCCTTAATAATTGGAGTCTCATATGACATTATTTAATTTTTTTTCCCCAGATGGTACCGGGCCCCTGAGTTATTGTTTGGAGCTAGAATGTATGGTGTGGGTGTGGACATGTGGGCTGTCGGCTGTATATTAGCAGAATTGCTTCTAAGGGTAAGTCCGAAATTCATGTACACCCTTAAGTATGGTTAATAAAGGTCCCATGATTTTCTAGGAATTCTCTTTCCATCGTAATCCTACAGCAAGAAATGGATAAGGAAAGTCAGCTTGTTAAATAAAAGTTTCAACAGGTGATGATGGCACATATTATAATCTTAGGATGTGGGAGGCTGAGGCAGAAGATCAGTGTGAGTTCAAGACTAGCCTGGATTATAGAGTAAAATTCTGTCTCACAAAACAAAGCCTCAGTGACTTGGGAAGAAGCAGAAGAGTTAAGAGTTTGAGGCCAGTCATGTATTAGGTATTTTCACATTGCTATGACAAAATACAACTCACAATGAGGAATGGTGGCTTTGTCTTGGCTCACAGCCTGAGTGTATAGTCCATTATAGCAGAGAAGTAATGGCCATGGAAGCTCGAGAGGCTCTTCGTCACATCCCATCTGCAGTCAGGAGGCAGAGAGGTGAATGCTGATGCTCCGCTCCCTTTATTTAGTCCAGGATTTCAGCCTTTACAATGGTGCCACCCACATTAGGGTGGGTCTTCCCTCTCTAATACAATGTAACAACTCTGCAGGGAGGCAGGGGAGGGTTTCCAAGCGCAGTTGTTACAGCTCTGCTCCACTCAGTGTTACAGCTCTGCTCCACTCAGTGTTACAGCTCTGCTGGGTTGGGAAGTGTAACAACTCGGCTCCACTAGTGGAAAGTTTCCCTAGCCAAAGTGTTACAGCTCTAATCTGCTCTGCTCTGGTGAGAGTTGTTACAGTTGGGCTCCACTTGGTGTGTCACACCACAAAACAAACTTCCTTGAGATGTATTGGGAAGGCAGAATCCAGGAAGAGGTTGGCTGCCTCTAGGGTGAGAAGCAGCAGCAAACTGAACAGAGTACAGAGCTTACTTGGGGTGGGGGTGGGGGCCTCTCCAGGGTGGTTTGGAATTGTTGGATTTTTGTGACCTGATTCTGGGGCAACATCAGGGATTGGTAGGATTTCAAGCCCAGGTCCTGGGGTCAAGTTAGGGTCAGGTTGTTTTTCCTTGACCCTTTTCACTCTATAATAAACTCCCTTACAGTTACCTCAGAGGTGTGTTTTCCTGGTGATTCTAAATTTCATCACAGAGGCTGGAAAATGACTCAGTTGCTAAAATGTCTTCTGCACAAGCGTGAGACGTTTCTGAATTCTTTCTACTAGAGCTTGTACCAACTCTGGGCCCAGTTAGGAAACAACCACGCCGTTAATCCCAGCACTCGGGAGGCGGAGCCAGGCGGTTCTCCGTGAGTTCAAGGCCAGCCTGGGCTACAGAGCGAGATCCAGGACAGGCACCAAAACCACACGGAGAAACCCTGTCTCAAAAAAAGAAAGAAAGAAAGAGAGAGAGAGAGAGAAAGGAAGAAAGAAAGAGAACCACACGATAATTTGTTCAGGAGCATTTAAGAATATACCAGGTGTGGTGGCTTAGACCTGTAATCCTAGCACTTGGAGGCTGAGGCAGGGAGAATCACCTTTGGTTTAAAGTTAGCCTGCGAGTGAGGCTCTTCCACCCAATCCCCCACCCTTTTTCCTCACTCACAGCTGTAGTGGGATGGGGACAGTGAAGGGCTGGCTAATAATAAATAAGTGAACTAATCCTAGGAATATCAGATATAAGCACCAGTCATGATTGCACACCACTGAGGTAATCCAGGGAAGAATTCCAGGGATGGAATCTGGATAGACACTGTTCAAAGGCACAGCTGAGAATTGGATGGCAGAAAAGTTGCTTTGGGTCTCTTCTGGTAACTTCCAAAAATCTACTTTTGGAGGGCTGGACTGATGGCTTAGCACTTAGGAGGACCCAGGACCCAGCACCTGGTGCGTGGTAGCTCACAATCACCTGTAACTCCACTTCCAGGGAATCTGACACCCTCTTCTAGCCTCCGAGGGTATCAGGCATGAACGTGTTACACAGACATACACGCAAGCACGCGCTTACACATAGGGAAGAATAAAAGGAATTTTTAAAAATCTGCTGTTTGGAATAGATTGGAAATCTGCTCTAGGGTGCTGAGGGAAGCTCTTCAAAAAGTGTATGTCTAGTGCATGATGGGAAATTCCTCCCAAAAAATCAATAAAGCATTGTGTTATTTAAAAAAAAAAAAAAAGTGTGTGTCTAGGTACACCTGCTAGAAACTGCCCAGGTCTGCCTTTTACAGAGAGGGAGAAGGTGAGTTTGGACTGAAAAAGAATAAGTTGATACGGAAATCAGTGCTTTTAACAGCTTTTAAAAGCTCTTTCCAGCCTATTGAAGTAAGTTTTTAATTGTTGCAGAGTTTGGCTTTTTGGGTTTTGGTAGTTTTTTTAGATTTATTTACTGGTGTATTTTATATATCAATGCTCTATGCATGATGGAAGAGGACATCAGATCCCCTTACAGATGGTTGTGAACCACCATGTGGGTGCTGGGAATTGAACTAAGGACCTTTGGAAGAGCAGCCAGTGCTCTTAACCTCTGAGCCATCTCTCCAAACCTGAGTTTAATTTTTTTTATTATAACTTTTTGTAGCATTATTTATGTAACTACTCTCAATAAATGTCTATTTGAAATGTCTATTTCTTAATTTCAGGTTCCTTTTTTGCCTGGAGATTCAGACCTTGATCAGCTAACAAGAATATTTGAAACTTTGGGTACACCAACTGAAGAACTGTGGCCTGTAAGCCTTTATGCATTCTGTTTGAAATGTAGTTAGGATTCTGTAAAGTTAGTTTGCTGTATCTGAGTAGCTGTATGGCTAAGGAAGAAAATAATTAATTAATTTTGCGGTGCTAGAGTTCTAAAGGACCAATACCTTTCTCCTGCTGGATAAGTGCTCTGTCACTGAACCAACTTGAAAAGTATCCTCATAGGTGAGCATGGTAGCACATACTTACAATCTCAAAGATCTTTGAGAATTCAAGGCCATGCTGGTTAACATATGAGTTCCAGACCACTTGAGCTATGTACTAAGGTCCTGTGTTAATCCCTACAATGAGAATAAGACCACTACAATTTGATCCAAAATTTAAACAGGCTTGATTTTTATTGGGATGTACCAAGAGCTGGCCAGAGACTGCCTCCTAAAGTGGGTTAAAGAGAGCAGCCCTGTATGCACCTCTTGGACCCCTTTCAAGGAGTAAAATCATGAGTAGTTTTACAGAAGGGACACACTGGGGCAATAAGGAAATATAAAAAAAAGTAACAAAGAACATCCTGTGGACACCCACCACGGGATCAGGGAGGGTCAGGGAGAGTTAGGGTATTCTCAAAAACAAATCAAGGTCATGGTTGGGGTAGGTCAGGTTCCAGGAAACAGCAACTCAATTCTCACAGTACAGAGAAACATTTTTATTAGCTCCTGCCTTTAAAATGGGGTCAGGCAGGTTCCTCATCTGTCTCAAAAAAGTAAATAAATAAAAATAAATTACCCTCATCATAAAACTGCAGATGACAAAGAAAGGAAAACATTAAAATTGTGACCTACACCCACCAGTATCTGTTCCAGGTTAATCACTGCCTTCAGCTGATGGATCCTAACTGTGCACTCACAAACTTAAAGCAGAATTGCGTTGTCTTTCATTCATTCATTCTTTAATAAAAGATGAGGGCTTGGGATGTAGCTCATGGAAGAAGAGACTGTTGGCATGCTCACGGCCCCAGCTCACTAACAGCACTGAGAGGGATCGTGGCAGGAGTGCTCTGCTGCGGCTCTCTAATCCTTTGTTTCCCACTGCTGGCTTGCTTTTTAATTGAGGCAGTTTGGGGTTGGTTTGTTTTGTTTTTGGTGGGGTATTCATCAGATTGAGGCAGTTTCTGACTACCTAACTCCAGCCGGCCTGGGACCATCAGAGACCCATCTGCTGCTGCTCAAGTGCTGGGATTAAAATTGTGTGCCACCATGCTGTGCTAACCTTTCCTTTTTCTGATGGCTGAATAATACTCTCCTTCATGGAGATTTATGTTAGTTACCTTCTATCTAGATAATCTAAGTATATTTATTGGATTATTAATACAATTTAAATTTTTTTATCATCATCTTATTCCAAAAACCAATTATGATATATCTCTCAAGTCCCAGCTACTAAGAGAATGATCCAAGAGGATTGCTTGAGCTCAATAATTTGAAGCCAGCCTAAGCAAGACCCATCTCTTTTTAAAGAAAAAGAAAACGATACTGATTGTAAATTGCTAAATTATATATTACAGTTTAGTAATCTACTATAATACTAGGTGTAGAGGTACACACCTTTAATCCTAGCACTCAGAGGCTGAGGTAGGAGGATCTCTGAGTTTTAGGCCAGTTTAGTGTACATAGCAAGCTTCAGGATAGCCAGGATGACATAGACTGTCTCAAAAAAAAAAAAAAAATCGTCTTGGACCAGCAGGTTGTTCTTCAGGGACATGTTCCTGAGAAGGGAGGAATAGGGGATGAGAAACAAAGAAGATGGGAACGTTTGGGGTCAAGAGGGCTTGCACAAGTTGATGACTCATGCAAGCAAGGTTATTAAGAAGTTCAGCATCTATATATAGTTTTCGGGGTGGGGTGGAGATGGGGGAACAGGAGATGGGACAGAATCAGCAGAAAGCCATCATACAGTTGGACAAAGTCAGCAGGAAGCTAGTCAGGCAATGTTGCACCAACAGAACATAGGATATCTCAAGTGCATTCCGGACTGAGTACTCAATGGCCTTGGGACTGAGGTCTCCTGTTTCTTCAGGGCTGTAAAATCAAGTTCCCAGGAACTGGACCCTTAAGTCCTTTGAGGCTGGCCCCAGCCCCAGGATGGACCTTGCCAAGACTGCCCCTGTGGCTTTTCCTCGGGGCCTCTGAGAAAGCATTGGGTTCACCTGGCTTTCAACAACAATAGCAACAATCTGTTACCACTTACTCAGATTCTTTGTTTATTTTGGTTTTTCCGGAAAGGGTTTCTTTGTGTGGCCTTGGCTGTCCTAGAACTAGCTCTGTAGACCAGGCTGGTCTCAGAATCCCAGAGATCCTCCTGCCTCTGCCTCGAGTGCTGGGATTAAAGGCTGTGCCACCACTGCCTGGCATTTACTCAGATTTTTTTTCCATTTTTATTTATTTCTTTTTTTTTCTATTATCAGCTTGATACAGTATAAATTCTTATCCTAATAGTGAAATGTTTCACTGAAGCTTGCCCAGTGATTGAGTAAAACCAAAACTTACTATAAGGCATCCTAGGGTCCTCCCTGCTATATCGCCTCCCTGGTTCTGTGGGTTGCAGTCTGATTGTCCTTTGCTTTATATCTAGAATCCACTTAGGAGTGAGTACATACCATATTTGTCCTTCTGGGTTTGGGTTACCTCACTCAGGATGATATTTTCTAGTTCCATATATTTGCCTGCAAATTTCATGCTGTCATTATTTTTCTCTGCTGAGTAGTACTCCGATGTGTATATGTACCACATTTTCTTAATCCATTCTTCAGTTGACGGGCATCTAGGTTGTTTCCAGGTTCTGGCTATTATGAATAGTGCTGCTATGAACATAGTTGAGCATGTATCTTTGTGGTATCATTGAGTATTCCTTGGGTATATGCCCAAGAGTGGTATGGCTGGGTCTTGGTGGTATATGCCCAAGAGTGGTATGGCTGGGTCAGATTCTTGAGGTTGAATAACTTATGACTTTCCATTCCCATTGTAGCCCCAGTGCTGTGGGGTGTCTTTCTGTACGCTGTGAATGTCTGATTGGTTGATAAATAAAGCTGCATTGGCCTGTGGCAAGGCAGGATCAGGTTAGGCAGTACAATCGAACTGAAGACAAGATGAAGGGTCGGGAGAGACGCCAGCCCGCTGCCCAAGGAGAAGCAAGATGCCCACAGACCAGTAACACCACGGCCATATGGCAACATGTAGATTAATAGAAATGGGTTGAGTTAAGTTGTAAGAGCTGGCTACTGAGAAGCCTGAGCCTGACCACCACAGGGCAGGCAGGACTAGAGAAACTTTCAGCTTAAACCTCAGGTTCTGAGGAGCAAATGAATGTTAGAAAAATGAGTCTTAGGGGGCTATAGACATGGTGTAGTGGTTAAGAGTGCTTCCTGCCCAAGCACGAGGACCTGAGTTTGAATATCCAGCACCCTTGCAAAACCAGCAACAACAGAACCCAGTTGTAGCATTCCTGTGGCTCCACTGCTGTAGAGGACAGGCCAGGAGGATTCCTGGGGCTTGCTGGCTACCAGCCTAACTCTGGTTCAGTCAGAGACCTGTCTCCTCAGCTCCAGACACACATGTATACCACACACATTCCTGTACCCCCCCAACACCAAAATCAATAAGAAAGGAAAGTGAACGTTTAAAACCAGATTCTTCTGTTCTTGTTAAAACTATAACAAAAGTATCTGAGACTAAAATTAATATCTAACTGACTTCTTTTTTGTCATTTCGTGATTTCCTAATTGAAATTTTTTGTGTTTTGGTTTATTTGGGGTTTGGTTTGTTTGTTTGATTGACTGATTGGGACCTACAATTTACGATCTTCCTGCCTTGGTCTCTGGAGTGGTAGGATTATAGGTATGCATTACCGTGCCGTCCTAAGCTGTCCTTGTCCTGTGTGTGTGTCTGCATGCTACAGCGCTGTTTTGTCAAAAAGACTCGACAGAACCCCTTTCTGTCTTTTCAGAACTACGCTTGGCAGATATATGTGGATCTCTGGGTTTTCCATGTGCTCCATTGATCCCGATCTGCCCCTCAGTCAGTACCATACAGTTGCTCTTTTAGGTCTTAAAATAAGGTACATAAAGCAATTCCCACATTTTTTTTTTTTTTAAATTGTTTCAACTAACTAGTCCTTTACCTCCCTATATAAGAGCAATTGGTTTGAATATGTAATTTGTCAAGCAAGATTTTAACCCTGTTTTCTGGAGAATCACTTCCTGTGTTGAATCTTTGAAACCATAAACATTTCTCATATTTTATATAGATGTTTATTTCATCAGCATTTTATAGCTTTCAGTACATGAGCCAGTACATATTTTGTTAAGACTTCTCAACCAAATATTTTCCTTTTTGGCATGATATATAAAGTATTATGTGTTCCTTTAGTTTGTCCTTTTTTTTTTTTTTTTAAGATTTATTACATATACAGTGTTCTTTCTGCCTGCATGTATCCCTGCATTCCAGATGAGGGCACCATATGTCATTATAGAAGGTTGTGAGCCACTATGTGGTTGCTGGGAATTAAACTCAGGTCCTCTGGAAGAGCATCCAGTGCTCTTAACCCCTGAGCCACCTCTCCAGCCCTGTTTGTTTGTTTTTCAAGACAGGGTTTCTCTGTGTAACAGTCCTGGCTATCCTGGAACTTGCTTTGTAGACCAGGCTGGCCCCGAACTCAGAGAGATCCAGCTGCCTTTGCTTCCCAAGCCCAGCTAAATATTGTGTTTTCTGTTCTGGTATTTGTTGTTCGTTGTTAGTATGTAGAACTATGATTTCTAAGTATACTTATGTTATATTTATGTCTTACAGCCTTTATAGATTACAATTCCAGTTTGTTTTTCTCTTTAAATCGTTTTCTCAGGATTTTCTACGGACTGTTTGACAGGTCACGTTTTGTTTCTTTGTTCCATTTCTGTGTCTCAGAATCCTTTACTTAAATTTGAACTGTAAAAAACCCTGTTTTTCAGGACATGTGTAGTCTTCCGGATTATGTGACGTTTAAGAGTTTCCCGGGGATCCCACTGCAGCACATCTTCATTGCAGCAGGAGACGACTTGCTCGATCTCATCCAAGGCTTGTTCTTATTCAATCCGTGTACTAGAATTACTGCTTCCCAGGTACTTACTTTAGGAAATCCAAGGATCATCTTCTTGGCAGCATTAATAAAACTCAAATGTCTAAAATTTTCTAATATTTTTTAGATACCAGGAAGATGTATGTCTTAAGTATATATATTTGTGTGCTTTCCTCTAAGCTGTAAACACTGTCCAGGCTGGTTTTTACATCGAGGAGTTTACACTTGCTTAGGGTGTGTGTGGGTGTGTTTTCATGCAAACTGCTATATTTCAGATGAGAATTTTCTTTTTCTTTTCCTTTTTTTTTTTTTTTTTTAAGGCGGGGTTTCTCAATGTAGCCCTGGCTGTCCTAGAACTAGCTCTGTAGACCAGGCTGGCCTTGAACTCACAGAGATCTGTCTCTGCCTTCCTCTGCCTCCTGAGTGCTGGAATTAAAGGTGTGTGCTACTGCCGCCCAGCTTGGTTTTGTTTTTTTTTGTTTTTTTTGAGAGAGAGAAAGTATGAATATGGGTGGGTACAGAGGAACTGGGAGGAGTTGGGAAAGAGAAAAGAAAATGGTTAAAATATGTTATAGTCTAAAAAATTTTTTAAATGGAAAAGTCCTAATCTTGCCTCTGCTTCCCAACTGCTAGGATTATAGATGTGGCACCATGCCTTGACTCTTAGAGAAATGTCTAGTGATTAAACTACTGTGGCTGTTGGATAGTACTAGTATTTTATAAATAGGTATTAGTTGGCAAACTTGTCATTTGAGAGGAAACCACTTTTATAAATCTTGTAAATTCTGGGACAGTATATTCTAGTGGTTAATAGAAACCTTGGATAGGCTACATAGAGTACAAACATTTAAAGCACCGCTGTTGGCTGGCCATGCCTGTCATCCCAGCACTCAGGACAAGCAGGAGGAGCACTGCAGGTGAGAGGCCAGCCTGGTTTACAGCCAAGTACACAGCAGCCAGTGCTCCAGCTAGGCCTTGTCTCAGAACAAAGGACTAAGCCCGCCCTCTGGTTTCTTCTCTCTGACAAGGCACTAAAGACCAAGTACTTCAGCAACCGTCCAGCACCAACCCCTGGATGCCAGCTCCCAAGACCAAACTGTCCCGCGGAGGCCCTGAAGGAACAGGCAAATCCATCCGTGGCAACCAAACGAAAAAGAACAGAGGCCTTAGAACAAGGTAAAGATCCTCATTGGTAAAAACAAACAAAACAATGAATGACATCAGAAAGCTCTAAATAGTTGGTGTATAGCTAGTGACTGGAAGCCAGTTAAGAAAATGGAGCTGTGGAGCTGTTTAAACTGTGTGAGATAAAAGTCCTCCTTTCCTTCAACTGAGGATACTTCGGACACTTTAGAGTAGACCTCGGACTTCTAAGAGGGTCCATGTGTGCCTTGTGCCTTCTTCCCCCCCGCCCCCATTTGTTTTATTTTGTTTGTTTTGTTTTTTTCCATAATAAACCTTTGAGTTTCTGGCTGTGAATGTATGCCATGTATGGAGGCCAGAAGAGGGCTTCTAATCCCCTGGAGCTGGTGTTGCAGGTAGTGCACTGCACACTGGGAACCAAACAGGAAGTGCTCTTTACAACTAAGCCAACTTTCTAGGCCTCTCCCCCACCACTGACCCCTCTTTTTTGTTTGTTTTTGGTTTTTTGTACACAGGCTCTCACTATGTATCTCTGACTGGCCTGGAACTCACTCTGTAGACCAGGCTGCCCTTAAACTTTCTTTTTGGTTTTTCGAGGCAGGGTTTCTCTGTGTAGTTTTGCGCCTTTCCTGGAACTCACTTTGTAGACCAGGCTGGCCTCCAACTCACAGAGATCCACCTGCCTCTGCCTCCCGAGTGCTGGGATTAAAGGTGTGCGCCGCCACCCCCTGGCTGGCCTTAAACTTTGAAGATCCACAAGCCTCTGCGTCTTGAGTGCTAGGACTAAATGTATCTTCAGCACATCCAGCTTCTTCAAGTTTTTCTTTTTGTAGGGAGGGGCTTTGAGACAGGGTTTCTCTGTGTATCCCTGACTGTCCTGGAACTCGGACATCCCCCTGCCTCTGCCTCCCAAGTGCTAGGATTAAAGGCATGTGCTACCACGGCCTGGATTTTTTTGTTTTGTTTTGTTTTTGTCTTTCAAGATAGGGTTTCCTTGTGTGTAGCCCTGGAACTTGCCCTTTAGACCAGGCTGGCCTCAAATTCACAGAGATCTGCCTGCCTCGGCCGCCTGCGTCTTGAGATTAAAGATGTGTACCCCCATCACCCATCAAGAACAATTTTTTGTTTTCTGTTGTTTTTTAAATTTTTATTATTTAGTTTTGTGTGTATGAGTGTTTTATTTTCATGTATGTCTGTGTACCATGTGTGCAGTACCTGTGGAGGCCAGAAGAGGGCATCAGATCCCAGGGACGGGAGTGACTGACAGTTTTGAGCAGCTGTGTGTGCTGTGGCTAGAATGCTCTTTACTGCTGAGCCAGTTCTCCAGCCATCTGTCTAGCCATCTTAGGAGTATTGTGTTCATGTTTAACAGGTGCCTGTAAGTCAAATAATGGTGCTGAAATGCAGTGAGTGAACAACCTTTTTGTTTTCCTTTCAGGAATATTGCCCAAGAAGCTAATTTTTTAGTTACAGCGAACAATGGACAGTTTTTCACTGCTGGAAGAAATAATCCGAAAGGCAAATAATGGGAAAAAAATAGGGAGCATTAAATGCCATAGAAGAGAACTTGTAAATATTCTACACGTGTAAAATATGTAAAACTATGGGTTATTTTTATTAAATGTATTTTAAAATAAAATATTTGTGATTTATGATTAGAGTACAAAAATCAGTTCAGTTCTCTGAAATGTAATTCACAGTGTATTAAGAGAGCTTTAATGGGTAATTACTGGTTATTCTGCAGCTCTGGAGGATATATCACTTCAAATTCGTTATGAATAGTACTTCAAACAGAAAAATACTGTTAGCAGTTTTGCCAGTACTCAACCCCACTACCCGATCTAAGTAGACTGGAGAAGATAAAACTGACACCTCCCCTCAATACTCCCCCACCTGGAACTCACTGTGAGCCTCCTGCCTCAGCTCCTGAGTTGCTTTAATTATTTTGGCATGCACTACCATGACCCTTTAATACTTTGCATTCCACTCCTTTTTACCTCACCAAGGAAATGGCTTTGGGTAAATTTGTGTTTATGATTCCATGGTTTTATACTGTCACCACGGAGAACTCTATCTCACCTTAAGGTAGCACACAGCTTTGATCCTAGCAGTAAAGGCAAGTGGATTTCTGAGAGTTTGAGGCTAGCCTGGTCTGCATACTGAGTTCCAGGCCAGCAAGGGCTACAAAGTAAGACCCTGTCTCAAAAAACAAACAAAACTACTAAATATTTTTTTTGTTGTTGTTGTTGTTGTTTTTTTTTGGTTTTTCGAGACAGGGTTTCTCTGTGTAGCTTTGCGCCTTTCCTGGAACTCGCTTTGGAGACCAGGCTGGCCTCGAACTCACAGAGATCCGCCTGGCTCTGCCTCCCGAGTGCTGGGATTAAAGGCGTGCGCCACCACCGCCCGGCTGTTTTTTGTTTTTTACTTAGAAACTTCCTTTCCATATTAATGGATATGAGTCTAGTTGATTTAGTTACCATATAATAATGTGTTGTAAATAATGCTATTTATCTGTGCTTTGTTTACGGAATATTATTTTTCTATTGTTGTATAAAGTTTATCATAAAAATAGTATGAATTGTGAGGCATAGTGGCTACTTATCCCTTTAATCCCAGGACTTGGGAGGCAGAGGCAGGTAGATCTCTGAGTTCAAGGCCAGCCTGGTCTACAGAGTTGAGTTCCAGGGCTACATAGTGAGAACCTTTCTCAAGAAAAAGAACCCAAATTTAGGTGTAGCTTAGTGGTAGAGAGTTTCCCAGCATGCATGAGCCCCTGGTTTCTGTAGCTGGCACTATAAAACAAATGATTCAGATCTGTAGTTCTTAAGTGAGGTAACTAGCTAGCATGGCTCAGCTTCCTTACGAGTTTCAGCAAGACTAAAGCAAGGTGCCCATCACATGAGGTTTTTTTTTTTTTTTAAAGTTATTATATGCATGGGTGTTTTGTCTACATGGGTGTCTATGCAACATGTGCATTCCTGGTGCCCATGGAGGCCAGAAAATGGCATTAGATCCCCTGGAACTGGAATTACGTGTAGTTATGAGCCACCATGAGGGTGCTGGAAATAAACCTAGGTCCTCTAGAAGAGCAGCCAGTGCCTGATTACTAAGTCAACACTCCAGCCCCACATAACTTCCTGTATGGGAGGTTTGGGAGAGCAGAACTTCACTCCTATTCTGCATTCTCCTTGAGTCCTGTGAGGGTTCAAAAAATAAGATTGATATAAACTTCACAGAAGAAAAACTGTACAAATTTATTGTATAAGTTTACATAGGGCAGAATTGCATATAACTGATAGGGACTAGTGGCTGGATGCTCACTTGAGGGTCACATGACCCTCCCCACCCCCACCCCCCCTTCTTCCAAGAGGGAAGGTGCACAGTCAAGCCCAGCTAGACTCCTGAAGATGTCAATGGTTTGGTACAGAGGATAGTCCTGTCCAGCAGCTACTAAGAGAGAAATTGTTAAAAAGTAAAAGAAGGGCTGGTGTTAAGTTCTCAACACTGACACAAGGCAGCTCTCAACTACTTGTAACTCCAGCTCCAGGGACTCTGCTGCCCTCTGCTGGCCGCCTTAGGGATCTGCATACATAAAAAGAAACCTTAGTTATTTTTATTTTTGAGACAAGGTTTCACTGTGTAATCCTAGCTGGCCCTGAACTTGGTTATGAGAGACCTGCCTAATTCTGCCTTCAGAGTTCTGGGATTTAAGTTAAGGCGTTCACCACCATACGTGACCCAAAATAAATCTTTAAAAAAAAAAAAGGTTCCTGAGTAGTTAGCTGTATAAAGATAAATTCACATAGGACTTTAATTTCATTTTAAAATCTTTTCATGCCAGTACCAGGACTGCATATGTAATTTAGTTAATGTGCATACTTAATATATGGGAGGACATAAAGTGCATGCATTTTCTGTTAATGTTGACATTATCATGTTGCCATGTAGTTATTGATTTGTTACATCCACACAGAGAATTATGCCCTCGAACAATCTGGAAGAAAAAAGTGATTTTTTTTTTTTTTTTAAATCTCTTTGGCATTTCTCTTCCTACGGTTAAATTTCACAGCATGTGGCTGTCTTGCATGTATTGGTTATACCATCTGTCCCTTTATTAGCCATTCAGACACCAAGTTGACCAACCCATGATGTGTATTTTATCAGAGACTGAAAATAGCAGAAACTAAGGTTGGAACAGGCTAGCTTTAAAACCACCGAATTGGTTGACAGCTGCAACAAAAATGTAAACATCCCCTTAGTGAAGAGTGGGCGGTTGATGGCGGTTTAGCACACAGCTAAAATCTGAGATAGCAGTGCCAAAGGAACCAGTAACACTGAAAATGTGTCTTAGCAGATTTTGTGTTGTAAGTTTTCAGGTATGGTTGCTCTATGTTGCCCAGGCTGCCCTAGAACTCAGGATCCTCTTGCTTCCTGTTTCCTGTGAGCTGGGATTACAGGTGCATGCCACTGTTCCCAGCTTCTTCCCTGCTGGGTATAGGGGATTACACTATACAAATACATGGCCCATTGTATGGTCATGCTAAACCACTATTTTTAATTTTTTGTTACACTTGTGTGTGTGTGTGTTTGTGCGCGGTATTCACGTGTGTGTGCACATAGTATAGAACGTGTGGTGGTGGTCAGAGGACAGCTTATAGATGTTGGTTCTCTATTATATGTAGGTCAGAAGGACCGAACTCAGGTCGTCATGCTTGACAGCAAACGCCTTTACCAGTTGAGCCGTCTCACTGCAGACTTCGTTTTAATGCCTTTTGGTTTGAAACAGGGTCTCTACAATATATAGCCCAAGGTGGCCTCAAACTCTGCCTCCCAAGTGGGATTACAGGCATGCGCTACCACGCCAGGCTACTGATGGGTTTTTGTATTGCTTAGAGCCTTGATAACCATTTTAAGATACCTGTACTAGCCTTAACACATCTGTAAAGCACTTCCTGCCTCTGTACAGGGTAAGATCCTTGCTGGATCAGATACGAGCTTTGCAGATTTTTTTAACCTTTTTAAAAAACAAAAACAAAAACCCTATAAAACACATAGGCCTTCCCCCCCCCCCCCCCCCCCGAGACAGGGTTTCTCTGTGTAGCTTTGCGCCTTTCCTGGAACTCGCTCTGAAGACCAGGCTGGCCTCGAACTCACAGAGATTCGCCTGGCTCTGCCTCCCGAGTGCTGGGATTAAAGGCGTGCGCCACCACCGCCCGGCGGCCTTTTTGTTTATAATTTTTCTTTCATTTGTAGAATTTTTCCGATAGAGAAATGCAGAGGTTATACAATGTCCCTATTTCCTTTCATGCCTTTCTCCCTGTTACACTTCCTGCCAGAGAAATCGTGTGGGTACTCTTAACTGACTTTTCTGTGTGTTGTACCCGTGTGCTTGATGTGTTAATACGTGACATTCCCCACTTGTGGGGCTCCTCTGGAGATTGTGTAGGTGTGTTTGACTAGTTCCTATAGCTCCACAGATTTCATGGATGTGCCTTATTCCCCTGTGGGCAGACAAGGATGTCACCTCTCCCCATGTTTTCACTTGTGCAAACAGTAGCCTGGCCTTTGTGGGACTCTTATTTAATCCGAATAGAATGAGTGTGAAATAGTCACTTCTGCTGTGAAGTAGATGTAACAGTTACTAAGCAAAACTGTTTGTTACCAAGCCCTTCTGAATGGGGGTTTTTGTTGTGGGTGACAGAGACACACAGGCAGCCCAGGCTATTCTGGGCAATCCTGCCTCAGTCTCCCAACTGCTGGGATCATAGGCATTGAGTGACTTCATGGTTCAAATTCATGGGACGATTCTTTACTTTTCCTCTAACTGTCTAACAGAGTTACCAGTGACATCAAGTAAGATTACAATATCCACAATCTAAATGGAACAGTGAAATGTCATCGTCAACTTAGGGGGACAGCTAAAGTATTCTCCTTATATTCAGTGTTTCATAATGAAGTCTGACATTTTGCTTGGCAGGGACATATTCTGAGAAGTGCAGTTAGGGGCTTTTGTCATCATTCAAACAGTGTACATACAGTTCAGCCTCGAGAGGCTCTGTCATCTAATGTGACCGCTGTTGTATATGTGGCCTATTGACCAGCATGTGGCTATATAGTATATCACTTAATCTGATATCCAAATCTTATTAAAATCACATGGCAGGCAGCTGGGCATGGTGGTGCACGCCTTTAATCCAGACACTCGGGATGCAGAGGCAGGCAGATCTTTCTGGGTTCCAGGACAGCCTGGTCTATGGAGTGAGTTCCAAGACAGCCAGGGCTACACAGAGAAACCCTGTCTCCAAAAAAGAAAAAAAAAATCACATGTCAGGCAAACGCATAAACCTACCTTTATCGTGCCTCAGGCAACTTCAGCTGAGACCTTTTCTGGGACCATCACATCCACTTCCAGGATGGAATGAGAGAGTTGCTAAGTAAACATCTGTTAGGTTTGGCTATAAATATTTTACTGACCAAAAAATACACTGTGAAAGGAACTAGCAATTAGTATGAAAGTATTGCTAAAATCCCGCCATAACTTTTTATTGAAGTTAACAAAATCATTTCAACATTTTGAATGTCAAATAAAAAATTCTGAGAACTGCAGATAAGGGTTTTTAAAATTAACAGTTGGTCCTAAGTATTGTTTGTTATATTGATATTTATCTGACCTAAGATCCATATGGTTATTCTAAATAACTATTACTATTGTGTTAGTAATGGCTTTTGTTTGTTCTTTAATATTTTTATTTTATTAAATGTATTTTTTGTTAGGTTGTTTTTTTGAGACAGGGTCTCACTATGTAGACCAGTCTGGTCTCTAATTCAGACCTGTCTGCTTCTGCCACCTGAGTGCTAGGATTAAAGGTATGCACCACCACGCCCAGTTTTATTTATGTTGGGAAGTATAAGCCACAGTGAAGTGTGGAGATCAGAGACCAACTCTTGGGAGTCGATTCTCTCCTACCTTATGGATGCTGGGGATCAGACTCAAGTCATTATGTTTGGTAGTGGGAGCCTTTCCCCCCTGAACCATGCCATGAGCTCTAGTTTTGGTTTTTGAGACAATTTTTTGGCTAGGTAGCATCCAGGCTGTGCTAAGGTTTGCAACCCTGAAGCCTCCTGAGTGTTGGTTGGGTTTACAGGGATGTACCACCAAGTCCAATAGAAAAGTTACGGTGGTGGCGCATGCCTTTAATCCCAGCATTTGGGAGGCAGGCGGATCTTTGTGAGTTCGAGGCCTGCCTGGTCTACCGAGTGAGATCCAGGGAAGGTGCAAAGCTACACAGAGAAACCCTGTCTCAAAAAAAAAAAAAAAAAGAAAAGAAAAGAAAGTAATGGGGTGTGTGTGTACATGTGCATGCATGTGCTCACCAGAAGTCAGCCTTAGGTGTTGCCCACCTTAGTTTTTGAGACAGGGTCTCTCACTGGGGTCTGGGGCTCTCATCAGGCTAGGATGGCTGGCCTGGAAGCCTGAGGAACCCACCTGCCTCTGCATTCTCCCTCAGCCAGGTCACAGATATGCTCTACTGTACCTGGCTTTTCATGTGGCTGCTGAGGACCAAACTCAGCTTCACGCTTGCATGGCAAACACTTTACCAGCTGAGCTGTCTCCCCAGCTCCATAAATAACTTAATGTTTTCCCAAGAATATTTGTTTATAAGATAGATGAACACTGAAACTGTCAAAATATGGAAAAGGATTTTATAAATAAAATGTCAACATAATACATTTCTTATAGAATACAATACTAATACATTTCTTATAGGACATGTGTTAAAGGTTTGCTTACTTAAGCTGCATCCTAAAATTAAAAGGGAGGGATGTGGTCAAAACACATATATTGTTAATACATGTATTAAGATATCATAATGAGCTTACTACTTTGTAAATTACTGTGCTAATAAATTTTAAAACCATCTAGAAAGCATACAACTTATTATCAACATTATGTAATTCTTTTTCTGTTTTGGCAACAGTCTGTAATTTAGTCAGCCATCAAATTCACAGCAGTATTTTTGCCTAAGCTTCCCAAGTACTGAGATTTACAAGTATCCTCCATACCCTGTGTACTTTCTCAAAGTCTTTGCAGTGCTGAACATCAAACCCAAGGCATTCCTGACACTTGCTGTGTAGACCAGGCTACTCTCACAGTCAGAGATCTGCCACCTGCCTCTGTTTCCCAAGTGCTGGGATTAAAGGCGTGCACCAGCATGTGCTAAACCCAAGGCCTTACGCACACTAACCAAGTGTCCTACCTCTGAGATACATTTTCAGCTCCCAAACCTGATTTTTAATAGCTCTAATTCTAATTTCAACTGGTTTATTTTTTAAATATATTTGACGGCAAAGAACAGGATCTTTTAAGCATTCTTGAGCAGTCTGAATCTCTCTGGGGATGCTGGACTGAACAAATGCAACCCACAGGATCAGAAATGTGGACATGTGAGTGTGCTGGATCATGCAAAACACGGCGTTCTGAAGCTTCCGGCCTGGCGGCTGTGAATGGGACATTGTGGTTCGTGGGAATTTTGTCTTTATTCTTTGCAGCCGTGTCCTTGTCTTCCAGTGCCCGGGCAAGCATGTAACTGACCTTTCTTTGATGGGCCAGTGCCTCTTCCTTGTCATTCAGCTGTGAGCAGAAGTTAGGGATGTGCCAGTTAGTGAGTCAGGACATGTGCAGGCAAAGGGCATCCGTCAAAGTACTGCATCCTAAATAGTAACTTCATCGTAATTAGAGTAATCTTGACTCAGTGCTGGGGGGCTAAGTGGAGTTTTTAAATTCATTCGTGAGCATGTTTATATGTGTACCATGGAGTGCGTGTTGGTGTTGGAGAACAACTTGCAGGACTCCGTTCTTTCCCTCTACCATGTGGGTCCTGGAATCGAATTCAAGTTGTCGGACTTGGTTGGCAGCAGGCTCCTTTACCTACTGGCCATCTCGGGGGCTGAAATTGTGCTTTATTTTTTATTTTCAATTTTTATTTATGTGTATGTGTGTATATGTGCCATGTGTGTGCAGGTACCTGAGAAGTCCAGAAGAGGGTGCCAGATCTTCCAAAACTGGATTTACAGGTGGCTGTGAACCACTCAATCAATGTCAGTGCTGGGAACTGAAGTAAATGCTCTTAACTAAGGAGCCACACAGCCCTCTCTCCAGCCCCAGGATTTTTTTTTTTAAGGGGGTGGGGGTGGAGGGCAGCAGAGAGGTGGCTCATTAAGTAGGGTCTTGCCATGCAGGCTTGCTTAACTGAGTCCAGTCCTTGGAACGCACATAAAGGTGGGAGGAGAGAGCCGGTCTACAGAGCTGTCCTCTGACATGACACACGTGCCATGGCATGCCCTGTTCACGCATACATCATACAAACATACAACAACAATAAAACTTCCTTTAAAAAACCCAGCGAGTTAGTGTTACTTCTCTCCAACCCTGTAAGTCACATAGAGACAGGGAGGGCTGTATGTAATACGTATGTAATCTCAACATGTACTAAAGCTGTATCTGAAATTGTTTTTATGTATTTATATGCAAATAAATTGATCAGTAGAGCTAAAGTGCGTTTGCTGTAAGCACTTGTGTCAGTGTCTCTGTTTAGTGGCCGTCTGTGGAAGGGTGCCAGGTCTGAATGCAGGTTGCATTGGTGACTTGAGGGGATTGTGACAAAGTGCCTGGAACACGCCAATGCCCCGGGTGCAGGCACTGAACTGCTTGGAATGAGTCACTGACCCCCCTCTTCAGGTGTAGGACTTTAAACCTGCACAGAAGGGATCTGCAGAAGTGGAGAGAGTTGGCAGGGATATGATAGGGCATGGTGCCCGGTGGACAAAGGGCTTAAGAGACAAGTGAGGCCTAGAATAGGAGCCTATGGGTTAGCTGAACCACAGCCCCTAACAAAAAGCAAGTGAAGGTCCCGTACTAACCAAGTCTATTAGCATCTTACAGACATCTTGTGGGTTGTCTTGGTCTTCAGTCCTCTTCGAACTGTTTTCTGAAGGAAGTATCCCCAGCAGCCTCTGCCCCAAGGTCTTCTTTCTCCTTTGTGATTGATATCCTAAAATTCAGTGGGAGAATCCAGCTGAGAAAAGTACACTCACTGATGTTAATTGCAGTAAAAGAAGTATCTGTGTGCCAAGGCTAGTTAATTCCTAAATCCAGAGGTCATTCCCACAAAACCACAAGGACCAGTGTTGTAGATTGCACAGCATGATGGGGGACTCTGGATTTCTGGGTATGGGTGGGGACCCGGACGGGGAGGCTCAGGCCCTTGGTCATCAGTCTTCGGAGCAGCAGAAACCAGGTCTGTGTGTGAGATTTCCCAATTTTACATGTCAGCCACTAACCACACTGTTTGAAAACACCACACAGGCCGAGGGAAGTGCAGGCCACAGAAGCCTAGTCCACGCCAACAGCTTAGAGCCAGAAAGGCCTGCCTGCCTCGCTCAGCCTCCTAAACACTGAGTTTTAGATGAGTTATCCAGCTTTCTCCTGTCTCTGGTGGGAGCACTGCCTTCCTATTTGCCATTGTCAGTTTTAGGAAGACTAAATGTAAAGTTTACCATTTTAAACATCTTCACTGTATCCCACCAGCTGGGGGAGTTGTTACTTATTGACACAGTGTCTGAGAAGCTGGAACATTCTGAAGCTGCATGGTGGTTAGACAATGCCTGCCGTGTTAAACTTGGTTCAAGTGGCAGAGTTTGTGGACATTATTTTATCATCATAGAAACATAACTGAAAACACTTAGCCCAGTGTTAGCATATTGTAGGAAAAGCCATGTGTGGTGGCACACTTGTAATCCCAGCCCGTGGGAGGCAGATGGGTACGCATGTGTCATGATGTGCATGTAGAGGTCAGAGGACAACTTTGAGGAGTCAGTTCTCTCCTTCCAGTGTGTGGGTCCCAGGGCTTAAACTCAAGCCTAGGCTGGATTGAGTTTCTGGTCTCCCTCTACCTCCTAAATGCTGGGGTTTCTGACATTTGCCATCATGCCCAGCTAAATGCCATTTTGTTTTCTGTTTTTGAGACAAGGTCTCGCTAGGTATCTAACGAGCCTGTAACTCCTATGTAGACCACACTGGCCTGGAACCCACAGAGATCCACCTGCCTCTGCCTTCCTGGTTCTGGGATTAAAGGTGTGCATCACCATGCCCAGCTAAATGCTATGGTCGGCCTCACTTTCTTCTTTGGCATTTGAGAGTCTCTTGAGTTGTTAGTTCCTCCAGTCTGTCTGCCTCAGCTTCTGGGTGCTGGGATTATACAGACATGCACCACCATTCCCAACTAATCAGAGCACTTGTATTAATTATGTCTCTTCCCACAAAGCAAATCTTGTGTAAGTGAGGTAGAAGACTACTAGGAAGCACTGAAGAGATGACTTGGCTGTGAACTACTGCTCTTGCAGAGGACCCGAGTTCAGTTCTCATTACAACCACCTCTAACCCCAGCTCCAGGGACTCCAGCACCCTCTTGTCTTCCTAGGCTGTTGTGGAATATTTATTTATGCAGAAATGTGTTGGATTTGTTTACCTTGCCTGCCTAAGGCACCTGATTGGTCTAATAAAAAGTTAAACAGCCGATAGCTAGGCAGAAGGTACAGGCGGGGCTTCCAGGCAGAGAGAGTTAAGTCGGAGAAAGAAGAATCTAGGCTTGACAGAGATAGAAGAGGAAAGAAAAGAGATACCAGGGGCCAGCAAGCCAGCCAGCAAGCAGGACATAGGAATGAAAGAAAGGTAAAAAGCCCCGAGGCAAAAATAGATGAACAATAATTAATAATAATAAACATAATTAAAAGAGCTAGTGGGATAAGCCTAAGCTAAGGCTGAGTATGCATAATTAATAATAAGTCTCTGTGTCTTTACTTGGGAGCTGGTTGGCACCTGCATGCACAGGTGCACACACACATACACCACACAAAGTGTTAGAAGGAGCTTATTTTGTTTCTTTTTCTTTTAAGATTTGTTTATTATGTATACAGTGAGTGTTCTGCCTGCAGGCCAGAAGGCACCAGAACTCATCGTAGATGGTTGTGAGCCACCATGTGGTTGCTGGGAATTGAACTCAGGACCTCTGGAAGAACAGCCAATGCTCTTAACCTCTGAGCCACCTCTCCAGCCCCTTATTCTGTTTCTTTGTGGTTTTATTAACTTGGAAGCTCATTTGCATGTGTAATTGCCAATGTCTTCTTTTAGAATTCCTGCCCGCCTGCCTCAGCCTCCGGCACTGCAGCAGTCGTTATGTACCACAATGCTTGGTGTTCCACAGTTGCTAATTTAAAACAAAATTATTATTGTATGTTCATTGGGGGGGGGCATATGTGTCAGCCATGGCCTGCTCGTGGAGATCAGTGGACAACTTTGTGGAGTCAGGTTTTCTCCCTCCTGTAGAGGAAAAATTAGTAGAGGCATTGTATCTATGGTAAACATTAGAATGAAACAATTGTTTTCACTGTGTCTAGGGAAAACTTCCGGAATGAGTAGTTGTTTTCCAGAAGTACTTGGGCCTTGAAGAAATTGTGGAAAACAGTGATTGTTTGCAGTAATCTATAGAGCTATTTTTTCCCCCCTCAGAGCTGAGGACCGAACCCAGGGCCTTGTGCTTGCTAGGCAAGCGCTCTACCACTGAGCTAAATCCCCAACCCTGAGCTATTTTTCTTAAGGAGCTTTGGAGCATTTGCATGACGTTGGTTACAAGATGGTCCTGGCACACCTGGATATATTGAATTCTTGAGTGCTGCAAACAGTACGCAATAAGGACTGAGGTTGCTGGGGTGCCATATTTTCCTTCAGAGAGCACACAGATTAGATCCGGGGCTTTGGTATGAAGGACTTGTTTTACCCAAAAAAACACTTTTTGTGTATCAATCAGTACATTGTCTCTGCTTCACTGACTTTGATTATATCCCAGAGCAACTAAACCCCCCACTCCCCGCCACTCCTCCTCACCCACCCCCCACTCCCCCAGTTACCATGCTCTTTCAGGTGTTGCCTGTTTATCCACTTATCCCCATGTGCCAGTTTCAGGGCCTGGTCGTTCGTCCGCATTAGTTGTTGCTCAAAAGCAATTCTGAATGCATCTGCCATTATATGAGCCTCTTCCTTACTTTTCTGCAGAATTTCCAACTGCAAGAGAGTTGGGGAGCCAGCAGAGGCGAAGGGAGTCGTTTTTGCATATGAATCGCTGTATTCCTAGCCTCTAGTCCCTCTAGTCTATCTGCTTAAGTCAGCATTTGCCCATCCGACCAGCACTCCGGCCTGGATGCCAGCAGTCTGCCTTGTCTGTCAGCTCCCTGCCAATCCAGGTCTTGAAACTCCCGAGCCTGGCGTGGCCCTGTGCCTGTCCTGCCCCAATCTCAGAGGAAGGGTACAGCTGCAAAGAAGGAAACCGCCCAAGGCTGCATTTCAGTTTGACCTTTGTCAACACTGCGCCTAGCTGAGCTTGAGTCTGATCCATGTGATTATATGCTGTTCTTGAGGGGCAGCTAGTGTTTGGTTGTTAGACTCCCTATGTGGTCTAAAGGCTTTAAATTCCTTATCTTAAAAAAAAGGTAAGACAATGGCTGGGCATAGTGGCACATGACTTTAATCCCAGCACTGGGGAGGCAGAGACAGGCGGATCTCTGAGTTCAAGGCCAGCCTGGTCTACAAAGCGAGTTCCAGGACAGCCAGAGCTATACAGAGAAAGCCTGTCTCAAAATATAACAAAAAGTAAAGCAGTTTTAGAATTTTTGGCAAATCACAAATTTGGTTTGTAAACATAACCATTTATAATTAAAGTCCAATTATAAGGGCAACTTATCAGATGATTAAAGGTCTGACCTGTTGATGATAAACATTATGTCTGTTTCTTCCAAGATAGTTATCGTGTTAACCTCTGAGGGAACTGAGACTTATTCTGCCCAAAGCCACACAGACAGCAAACAGTGGTGCTAAGACACACCACTCATCAAATGCATAAGCCTTCCTTCCATTTCAGATAAGCACGTTCATCTTCCCACTACCAGTGTTAATTGTAGTGATTTTAAGTGTAAACACACCTTTTCCCTCTATTAACTGTGATTTGGGGGCCATGTATAAATGAGAAAACACGAATTTAAGAAATACTAACTGCACACTGAGTCAAACAACTTTACCTGGCTTCAGATTCCAAGCAATGTACTCTGTGTGCTTTGGAACCTGGTTAACGAAATCTAGTGTACAAGTTAATGCTATCGCATAGAACCAAGCCCGGGTTCCCCAGCCAGTGACTCCCAAGACGAAGTTCATTCTTGCAAATACTGCCATTTATCCTACTGCTAATAAAGAGCCGGCACCAAGGCATCCGATAAATACCTCCTGTCTGAGCTGAAGAACCAGTTTCCGAGTGGATGCTGCCATTCTGGCACAAGAACAGGGGCTCCCTCCAGGACCACGACACAAGCAGGCTCCGAGGACTGCAAGCTTGAAACCCAAAGGCATTACCTGTTACCAAGTGTCTCAGCCACATACAGACACCACCCCACAGCCATGCACGTTAGTCAAGCCTCTGATCCAAGAAAGTGGAAAGTGTGTGTGTGTATAATATATGTGATGTATATAGTGTATATTTTTTGAAGAAAACTTAGGTGAGGAATTCATGATCTGAGTGGAAATGAGACATCACCACAAATGAGACACCATTACTTGCAACAAAAGCTTCAAAGAGTTTACATTTCTTCCTTCCCACTCTCAAAACCTTTAATCCTGGTATTTGTCTCCAATAGCTTTGTATGTGCAGCAAGAATTTAGCCTAATCAAGGCATTAATACTAACATCCACAATGAGTGATAGGCGTGGCCTTATAGCCAGCATTCCCTGAGTCCATCTCCTCCAAGAAGACTGTGCTCAGAATGAACAGTGAGTTTTATTTTACCCCTGGGGAAAGCAATCATCCTTCCACTCTGTGGCTGGAGAGAGGGCTCAGCGGTTAAGAGCACTGGCTGTTCCTCCAGAGGTCCTGAGTTCAATTCCCAGAAACCACATGGTGGCTCACAACCATCTATAGTGGGATCTGATACCCTCTTCTGACATAAAGGCGTACATGCAGATAGAGCCCTCACACAAATAAATAAATAAATAGATCTTTAAAAAAAATCGCTCTGCAATCATGCACTCTATTTTAAACTGTTTCTTGGGTAATGACAGTAGTGAAGTTACTTGTAGCCCTGGCCCCTCGAAACTTGACTAAGTGAAGAAACAGGGTCACTCCTGGTTGACCACTGTAACTCAAAGAAAAGCTAGCCCCCCCCCCCCCCCCCCTTGCAGCAGCTAGGCCCACTTACTAATCTAACGGGGCGGGCGGTCTAAATATTGTGCCATGCGTTTTGAAGTTTCATAAGGACCTTACTATAAAATTACCTAACTCCGGTCTGCCCAGGTGTAAACTGCTAGCCGTGGGGCAGGGGAAACTACCCCTCATCCCGCTCTCACCTCATGTGTGATGTAGAGTTTGCGGCAGAGTGGGAAGGTTAAACGTGTTAGAAGACCTGACCCTTGTGAAGGCCAGTGCAACGCTTGTTCTTGGTGACAGGTGCCTTCTTTTTTTCTGTGTTCTCCCGTGAGTGGAAGGCGTGCTTCTTATAAATCCCGGGGCCCTTTGTCCCTCACGAGCTAAACTTCCACATTGTCAACCACAGACAACACATCAGCTGACCTTCGTTCTGGGCCTGGGTAAGCCACAGGTTCCCTTGTCGCTGTGGGAAAACAACAGAACCTACCCAGCCCTAGCTCCGTGACACCCCTTTGCAGCCTCAGTGAGGACAATGCGTGAAAGTCCTCGGAAAGAGCCGGTACCCCCAGCAGGGAGGCTCCGGGGGTGTGTGCTGCAGCTGTGAATGCCGGGCATGGTAGCAGCAGTTGGCAAGAAGCAACCTACACAATCCCATGGGCCTCTGGCACCCTAGTAAGTGTAGCTGAGCAGGCAGCAGGGGATAGGAAAGCGGACGGTGTCCCTCCCAGCCACGTACCTCGAGACCCGACACCTCTGTAGAGCCACTGTCCTGAGCCGGGTTCTCCGGAGCCATCTCCTGCTGCTTGATATCAAGCATGGCGAGGGCCTCCAAATACCGCTGATTCAAAACTAGCAAGGGCCACACACGACAGTGTTAGTTCTCGGAGGCCAACCGCGGCCTCTCTGTGGAGTTACACCAAAACCACACACTCATATCTTCTAAGCAGCACGTCCATCAGACGGCATGCAAGATTGGGCTCCATCCAGAAAACCTATCTATCTGATGAAGTAGGGGGTATCATAGGAGAAAAGAGATGTGCAATAGCTCCTTCTTTTTTTTTTTTTTTGGTTTTTTTCGAGACAGGGTTTCTCTGTGTAGCTTTGCGCCTTTCCTGGAACTCACTTGGTAGTCCAGGCTGGCCTCGAACTCACAGAGATCCACCTGGCTCTGCCTCCCGAGTGCTGGGATTAAAGGCGTGCGCCACCACCGCCCGGCGCAATAGCTCCTTCTAATGGGGAAGCCTCTTACCTTTGCCACCCAGGCCGCTGGCTGCTTATTTGCTCTAGGGGAGTTTGTAGGTTTTTGTTGTCGTGTTTTGAGACAGGATTTCTCTGTCTTACAGCCCTGGCAGTCCTGAAACTCACTGTGTAGACCAGGCTGGGGGGGGATTAAAGGTGTGAGCCACCGCAACCGGCTTAGGACTTTTTTTTTTTTTTTTAAGTGAACAAGTAAGGCAAATTATTCAGAGACTCTGAAGAATGTTGTGAGAATATTTCTGTAACAATCACTCTGACACCAACGGGACTGGAGGAGAGGAGAAGTCATGGGTAGGCCGAAGCCAGGATACCTCCTGAGAGGCTTTCATGTCGTGTCTAGTTTGGATTTTCATGTGATACTCTAAAACCACGAGGTGGGACGGGCAGAAGAACCAGCTTTTACAGACGCCTACGTGGCGGCAGCAGGCTGGTAAGGGCGTCGGCCCACTGTTCCAGCTGTTCCTCCCGCTGTTCCAGCTGTTCCTGCAGGGCACTCTCTTCCAGGTAGCAAGTGAAGTCGTGTTTGTCAAACAGTCAGTGAATGCGGTACTTTAAGTAAATCACTAAATAAATCAATAAATCACTATGTGACAACTGGTCTTTTCTACATAATTCTACTTCAGACACTGAGACGACTAGGTAGTGAGATCTCCTATATTATATTCACGTCAAATGGGCTACAGTGTGAGATCCAGGACAGGCACCAAAAACTACACAGAGAAACCCTGACTCGAAAAAAAACAAAAACAAAACAAAACAAAAAACTAACAAAAAATCTGTAAGAAAAATCAGCGTCACCATCCTCACCAAAAGGTGGTTCATTATCTAAGGGCTATGCAACATATGGCTTTTACATGTGAGTGTATACCCTAGCTGCCTTATGCCATTCTATTCTGCTTTATGGAGAGAGATTGATTATTTATTTATTTATTTGGTTTTTCAAGACAGTTTCTCTGTGTAACACCTCTGGCTGTCCTGGAACTTGCTCTGTAGACCAGGCTGGCCTCAAATTCAGAGATTGACCTATCTCTGCCTCCTGAGTGATGGGATTAAAGGTGTGGCCCACCACCATCTGGCTAATATATTTGAAAAGAATCATTAAAGTATTTTCTTTTTTTTCCCTTGTATGTGTGAGCTCTGTCTGCATGTATGCCTGCAGGCCAGAAGAGGGCATCAGATCCCATTATAGATGGTTGTGAGCCACCATGTAGTTGCTGGGAATTGAACTCAGGACCTCTGGAAGAACAGCCAGTGCTCTTAACCTCTGAGCCATCTCTCCAGGCCCCAACTCACCAGCATTTTCAGACTTGAGCATTTTAATTTCTTCAGTTTTCACCTTCAGATTCTCTCTGAGAACTGCATTGTCACAGTTTAGTCTAGAAAAAAAAAACAGATAATTAAAATAGTAACACCTCTTCAATGAGCAAAAACATTTTTATTTCTACAATTTATTACAGGTTATTGATTTTATTAATGGGAGGCACAAAAATGCACATATTGGGGTCAAAGGACAATTTGTGGGAGTGGGTTCTCTCCTACTATGTGGGTCCTGGGATTGAACTCAGGTCTTTGAGGCTTCGTGGCAAGTGATTTTATCTACTCAACTTATACTCTTAACTCTTTTATATATTTAGTTGAGAAATAAGCAGGCCCAGAATTCACATTAATTTATATTAATATAAATTTAATTCAACTCAATAACCGTTTGGACACTGACTCTGTGCTTAGGCCATGTTAGACAGGTCTTCCTGTCAACTTGAATATTGGTCGATACTGAGTCACTGTAGGCCGTGGACTCTAACCACTGGACTAACTAAGCTAATGAGGAAGCTGACAACAGAAAACTGCATGGGGGAGGGCATATGAAAAGTCTATACCTCTTGCTCAATGTTGTTTTAATTCTTAAAAAAAAAAAAAAGAGGCAAAGTCCTTCACTGGGGGATGGTCGAGAGAATAGCCACCCATGTTCCGAGGGCCTTTATTCAAAATAGCTGTAAGGCAGAAGCAAGCCCGAGTGGCCATCTAGGATTGAAGGAGTTAACAACGCAATGGTGCACACCTTTAACCCCAATACTTGGGAGGCAGAGGTAGGTGGAACTCTGAGTTCAAGGCCAGCCTGGTCTACAGAGTGAGTTCCAGGACAGCCAGGGCTACATAGAGAAACCCTGTCTCAAAACACAAAAACAAAACAACAACAACAAATATGATCTTCTTCTCGGAAGAACATTGGAAATCTTGGAAATTCTGAAACAAGTTACATAGAGGAACCTTTCAAGACTGTATGATTCTGTAAATGTGAAGCACTCGGAGTAGGCAAATTCACTGAGAACGGAATATTAAATGTCAGTAGTCAGGGGCTGTGGGAGGCACCGATGAAGAGTAGCTGTGTGATGGGATTCAGGGTGAGTGCTGGTGATGGCTGCACAGTGAACTTCTCTCCTTGGATTTTTATTTGTCTGGTGTAGCTTGGGCTGACCTTGAACTCTCTAAGTAGCTGAGAATGATCTTGAGCTCCTGATTCTCCTGTCAGGTGCCCGGAGTCTTGCTCTACAGCTTACACTTAACTGCTCCCCCTGCTGGTTTCCTGGTGTCATTACAGGCTGTGCACCACGCCTGGCCTCCAGTGATCATGTCATTTGATTCTGGAGACAGGATCTTGCAGTGTAGCCCTGGCTGGCCTGATTCCACTGCAGTCCAGGCTGGCCTCAAACTCAGACAGTCCTTCTGCGTTAGCCTCGAGTACTGATGTTACAAGCCAGCAATCCTATGTGGGATTTAATGTCACTGAACTATACGTTTTAAAATGGGCAATGTTATGTTAGAGTTCACATGATTCAAACAGTACAAAGGATGAAGAAAGGGCTGGCAATGCAGCTCAGCAGGGCAGCATTTGTCCAGCCTGCAGGAATGCATGAGGCCCTGGGTGTGACCTCCAGCACTGCAAAAAATCACAGAAAGAAAAGCAGTAGGGCACTACTGAATAACAATGGGATTGGTTACAAAACTCTCCTTAATTATCCAGCACCAGAAGCTGAGCAGGGGAAATACATCTAGTTAAAACAGAATCCCAGGGGTCAAGAGCACACACCACTCTTGCAAAGGACCCAGGTTCAGTTCCCAGCACCCATGTCGGGCAGCTGGAGTTACAAGGAATGAAACTCTAGCACCAGGGATCCAATGCCCTCTGCCAACCTCTGTGGGCACCTCCACTCACATACACATAGGCACACTTGGACATATAGATGTATATTTAAAAGTAATAAAAGTAATCTTAAAAAAAAACAACAACAACACAGCCGGGCGGTGGTGGCACACGCCTTTAATCCCAGCACTTGGAAGGCAGAGCCAGGCGGATCTTTGTGAGTTTGAGGCCAGCCTGGGCTACAGAGTGAGTTCCAGGAAAAGGCGCAGAGCTACACAGAGAAACCCTGTCTCGGAAAAACAAAAAAACAAAAACAAAAAAACAGAAAAAAAACCAAAACAAACAAATAAAAAAAAACACAAGCCAGAGCTTATTAAGCTTAAAGCCTTAATAAAAATACCAATCAACTGGACCAGTCAGATAGCTCAATGGCTGAATAGCTCATTTGCTGCCAAGGCTGAAGACCGGAGTTCAATTCCTAAGATCCACATAGCAGGAGAGAACCAACTCTTGCAAGCTGTCCACTGACCTCTACATATGCACCACTGTGTTCCTGTGTCAGGCCCACCCCCCAGTAAGAAACAAAGGTAAATTTTAAAATAAAAAAAGATACTTATCAAGACATTTCATGGTGATATTTGTTGCGATTACTCTATGCTCTACTACAGACTGACTTCAGATGATTAAAAAACAGTCATGAGATGGGCTGTTGGGGGTATAGCTCCGTTGGTAAAGTGCTTGCCTAGTACCCAGGAAGCCCTGGGTTTAGTCACCAGCACCACATAAACTGGGCAGGGCAACCCCCACCTATAACCTCACCCCTCCGGAAGTGGAGACAGGAAGATCAGAAGGTCAAGGTCATTTTTGATGAACCTGTGATACACAGGGCCCTGTCTCAAAATAAGTAAATAAATATAATCATGATAGTAAGTTTCCCAACTGAAAATGAAATGCAGGGCCAGTGAGATGGCCTAATGGGTCATTTGTGCCAAGCCCAATGACCCGAATTTTCTCCCCAGGATCCACATGGTGGAAGGAGAGAGTGAACTCCTGCAGGCTGTCCTCTGACTTCTCATGCTCACTGGAGCATGTGCTAGCCCCCCACAGAAATTAATAAATACATGTAGAGCAAATGAGAGAGAGAGAGAGAGAGAGAGAGAGAGAGAGAGAGAGAGAGAGAGAGAGAGAGAAAGAGAACACGAACATGAAATAGGTTTCCTGAGGTTGCGGGAACTGGTGTTCACAGTGAATTTTGTTTTCTTTCTCTAATTTCCCCCACAAAGTCAGTGAGAATAAACCCAGAGCCTTGCCCATGCTAGCCCAGCACCTGCACATAAACACACACAGACAGACAAATACATGTAAAGTTTAGCTGTGAATGGCAGTGCACTTCTGTAATCACTTGGGAGGCTGAGGCACGCCAGCCTAGGCTATGTATTGAGAGCCTTTCTCAAGAATAAGAAAAAAAAGGGGGGGAGGGGGTCTAGAGAGATTAATTATCCAGCATCAGATGGCTTAGTGGTTAAGAGTGTATAATGTGTTTTTAGAAGACTCCATGGGCTGGAGAGACGGCTCAGAGGTTAAGAACATTGGCTGCTCTTCCAGAGGTCCTGAGTTCAGTTCCCAGCTCATAGTCACCTATAATGGGATCTGGTGCCCTCTTCTGGTGGGCAGGGATACATGCAGATAGAATACGATATACATAATAAATAAATAAATCTTAAAAAAAAGACGACTCCAGTTTGGTTCCCAACACCTATGTCAGGTGACTTAGAACTGCCCAGAACTCCAGCTCCAGGGGATCTGATGCCCTCTTCTGCCTAAAACTACATTTGAATTAGATGCATTTTAAAATGTTCCTTGGGAAAATTATGGACGATACTATCCGTAGCTGGGCTGAGGGTGGGCCTCGGTTGTAATGTAACTGCACAGTATGCACAAGGCCCTAGGTCTAATTCTCAATGTCATTCATGTACAAACCTGTCATATTTTTGGGTCCAAGATTCCTCTATAGTTTTAAATCTATCCTGATCAAATTCCATTTCCCACTGCAAGGCATTTATTTCCTATAGAAAGAGAAATAGCACCTTCAGATAAAAAAATAAACAAACAAAAAAAGAGCATCTCATGGAAAATTATCAGTATAAATCATTTTGAGTCACAGAATGGGTGAAAATCATTTAATCATAGAACAATTAAAAGAAAACGCCACTTGGAAGAGTCAATGGCATTTGTAAAATACATTGAATGGATTTTTTTTTTCCTTAGCACTCAGACACACTTTGCCAAAGCTCACTGAACACAGAAAAGAAATTTTGAACTGTTTGGGTTCAAAATTTGGTTGTACTGAGACCAGATTTCTCAGAGCCCATCTTTGCCCATGTAGACACCAGAAACTAAATTTACTCTTGGGAGTCTCAGCCCAAAGGGTCCCATCAAAGAGGAATACAGTTGACATAGGAGGGTGACATCCGTGATGATCCTAATTCCATATACAGTGGGGGGCTCAGAAACACGCTGACCCTGCCTGGGGCACAGGACCAAAAGGAAGAAAGATGGGAAGTGCTAGGTTGGCGGACCTTCTGCTTCCACAAAAGGGACCTAAAGAGGCTGTCCTTTACCCATGTGACAATCTGTTTTAAAATGTAAGTGTCCAAAGGACAGCCATCAGAGGCTGAGCACTCCTTGCAGGAGGGTGCTGCCCCTGTTACTGTGCTGAGCCCAAGGAAATTACATTTAAATATTATCAGATTGAGCATGCCAAGGCCGACAGTTGCAAATACCTTCTCCAGAGCTCTCTTTTGTTCTATAGTTTTTTGAAGCACTGTTTGTGTGTGACTCGTGGCTTTGTCAAGCACCGCCTAAGGAAAAAAAATAAGAAAAAGCATCAGTATAATTAAGTTTTAAACATTCCTATTTGTATAACATATGCACATATTACTACATACATGTTTTATTTTTTAAAGTTTTTTTTTTATTTTCAATACGTGCACTTCATTTATCTTCAGTGTCTGTGTATCTATGTATAAATGTGTGCATGTGTGTGCAGGTGCCTGAGGAGGCTAGAAGTGGGTGTCAGGTCTCCTGGAGCTGGAGTTACAGGGTGTTGTGAGCTGCCTGACTTAGGTGCTGGGAACCAAACTTGGGCCCTACACGAAGGCAGTCTGTGCCGTCAACTGCTCAGCCATCTCTCCACCCCCACATTTTAACTTAAGATAACAGAATATTGGCAGGATGAGACAGGCACGTCAACAATTGTTTGTGAAGACTGAGAGTTTAAAATTCAGGAGACCTTGGCTTGGCTCTGCCCTCCTCCCACATGTGATTGATTGAGTTTTCTTCTCAGGAAAACACTCACACAGCAGTGTTACTCACCACGGTCAGAAAGAAGAAATAAGTCTGATATACACCAGCTGGTGGTGAAGGAGATATAAAACATGCATGGCTATACAACAGACTATTAGAAATAAAAAGAAAAAAGTATCACTGGGCAGTGGTACTGCACACCTATAATCCCAACCCTTGGAAGGCAGAGGCAGATCTCTGGGTTGGAGGCCAGCCTGGACTACAGAGTGAGTTCCTGGACACAACAGTCAGGGCTGTTACAGAGAAACCCTGTCTCAATAAACTTGAAAGGGGGAGGGGGAGGAAGAAGGAGAAGAAAGTATTGATATACGCTATGACATGCATGAACCTCAAAAGCATACTAACTAAACGATTACAGACACAAATTGCTTGGTTGTGTTTGTTTGAAAGAGAAAAGGTAAAAAGACAAATCCATTAAAAAGTCTGGGTCCGTGCGTGAATCAGGGACTGCCGTCAGAAGTAACTGCTAACAGTGGCAAGGCTCATTTTTTCTGTTTTCTTTTGTTTTTAAGATGTGTTTATCTAGTATGTATACAGAGTTCTGTCTGCATGTATGCCTCATGCCAGAAGAGGGCACTAGATCTCACTGTAGATGGTTGTGAGCCACCAAATAGTTGCTGGAAATTGAACTCAGGACCTCTGGAAGAGCAGCCAGTCAGTGCTCTTAACCTCTGAGCCATCTCTCCAGCCCCCGAAAGATTCATTCTTTTAAATAATGAAAATGCTCTAAAATTAGATTCTAGTGATAGCTGTACAACTCAGAGGTTAGTAAAAATTAACTGTATACTTAAAGATCAGGAAACTATACTATTAAAATATCTGTATCTCAGCAATATTAAGCACTGATACTTTTATAAGGTAAAAAAAATCACTAATTACTGTTGGTTATTATTGTTGTTGTTGTTGTTGTTGGTAGTGGTGGTGGTGGTGGTGGTGGTGGTGTGTGTGTGTGTGTGTGTGTGTGTGTGTGTGTGTGTTTCCAAAGCAGGGTCTCAGGATGTATGGAACGCAGCCTGATCTTGAACTCTCAGTCCTCCGGACACTGCCTCCTGGGTGCAGGGATCCTAATTCCACTTATTATTGGAATGTGTTAAGTGATGAAACATCCAGAAATAAATTCTTACCATGCTTTGAAGGATTTTCAATGCTTTCTCTTTACCTTCAAGTTGTCTTTGAGATGCTTCAAGTTCAGTTTTTAAAATCTCTACTTCCTGAGGACAGAAATACAGTAAGCCTTCCTGGTTGCAAGACATGTGATCCCTGAACTGTCCACCTGGCTAGTCCACGTTTACCCTTAAACAAGGCTGTGAGTTCCCACAGACATTGCAGCGAACCAGTCAAGGCTACAACCAAGAGCCTCACTCTCACGCTCCAGGCTGAAGGGACACGAGCCCACTCAAGCTCGTGGCTGGGGCAGGCCTTGCCCTTCTCCCCCATTCCCTCTGCCTTGCTGAAAACCATTAGATTACATTCTAAAGCTAGCCACCACGGCCTTCCCTTATTTGGCCACTTCCTCCTGAGGCTGACTACCAAGGTCCTGCTAGCAAAATATTGGTGTTAACCAATCAGAAGCCCTCTTTGGTTCACCTAATTAACATGTCCAATCAAAGTTAAACACCTCATCCTAACACAGGGTTTTCCCCTTTACCGTTATGGACCACCGTTTTCCTAGGTGCCAGCCACATCTGTCTCCTCTCTCTCCAGAGGCAATCCTTTGTCCCACGGGGACAAGTACCCCTTCCTCCTTTCCCTTGTCCCTTTCTCCCTCGTCCCCATCTCCTCTACCACGGCATCCTAGCCCATTCTAACACAGACCTCCCCTTCTTCTCTTAAAAATGACACCTGCAAGGTCATTGGATGCTGTTTTTCTGCCTGAGTCAGAAAGCAGCCACTTTAACTTTACTTCCTGCTTAATAAAGTATCTCTCGGTGAAAGCAGGTGTTTGGGTGTGGTGTGTGCCTGATTGGGGGGTCTGGGAGGGAGTCCCCACTGTGCAGGGGTCCCCTTCACAGTTGAAACAAAAGTCTGACTCTTGTTTTTATCCACACAGGCAGGCAGCTAATCACAAGGAAAAGAAAAATCTCGGTGTTGTTTTCTTTTTCAAAGAGTCTCAAATAGCTATATTCTCAGCTTGGCATGGTAGCGCACAGTTTTAATCCCCAGCACTTGGGAGGCGAAGACAAAGCGCTGCAAGGAAGCAACACCGATTTTCCCCAGCAGTTTAGATAGGTTTAGAGAAGCCAGACAGAAGTGGTGGGCATGCTTACATGAGAGGACTTTTTAAGAGACAAGAACCAGGGTCAGCAAGAAGGCTCAGCAGGTTAAGGAGCTTCCCACCAAGTCTGACCACCTGAGTTCGATCCCTGGTACCCACAGGGTGGAAGGAGAGAAACAACTCCAGCAAGTTGTTCTGTGATATCCACATGTTTATTCATGCATTTTTGTGTAAGGTGCATGTATGCCTGCATGACAGAAGAGGGATCAGATCCCATTACAGATGGTTATGAGCCACCGTGTGGTTGCTGGGAATTGAACTCAGGACCTCTGGAAGAGCAGCCAGTGCTCTTAACCACTGAGCCATCTCTCCAGCCCCTGATATCCACATGTATGCTGTGCCACAGGCACCCATACAAACACAGAGAAAGAAAAAGAAAGAGAGAGAGAGAGAGAGAAAGGAAGGAAGGAGATAGATACATAGATACACAGATGATAGATAAATAGATAGATGATAGATAGATAGATAGATAGATAGATAATAAGAAATGGAGGCCTGTTGAAAAGTAGGAGCTCGAGATGAAGGGAAGAAGAGGAAGTTTGGAGAAATGGATGGGGGTGTAATACTCACTTAATATCACGCAGGACATACCTCTAAAGTTTCATGAAGACGTTGCCTCAATTGTTCATTTGACAATTCTGAGTTAGAATCTATTGGAGGAAAAAATTGAATAATTTCTTTAGTTAAACACAGGGCATTTAGTTGGGCGTGGTGGCACACTCCTTAATATTTAGCACTCAGAGGCAGAGGCAGGTAGATTTCTTTGAGTTTGAGGCCAGCCTGGTTTACACAGTGAGTTCCAGGACAGCCAGGGCTATGTAAAGAAACTCTGTCTCAAATGTCCCGCCTCTCTGCAAAATGCAAGGCATCTGCTTACAAATATTAAGTATGTATTTTCTCTAAATTGCAAAATGAAAAAATTATAATAAGATAACTAATGATAAAAATACGAACCCTAGGGCTGGAGAGATGGCTCAGCAGTTAAGAGCACTGGCTACTCTTCCAGAGGTCCTGAGTTCAATTCCCGGAAACCACATGGTCCCAACCATCTCTAGTGGGATCTGATGCCCTCTTCTAACATAAAGGTGTACATTCAGATAGAGCACTCACATACATTAAATAAATATAATTTTTTTTAAATTAACCCTAAAATATCCCTGAGTTAAATGTAGTGGGTAGCCTTTCCAGCTTTGATCTGGAAGTTCCAACCCCCATTGAGGCTTCGATAACTGTCACGCCTACAAGGCGGGGCCAAGAGAGGACCCTGAAGACTTGAGATCTGGATGCACCAGCTCTCTTGGTTCCTGGACCCTGGATGCTGGAGGTAGATCGAGCAGAGTTCTCCAGAGAACACCGCTGGACTGCACCTTTCCCAGACCCTGTTTACCTATCCCTTCACTTGTAAGTTACCCACAAAATAAACCTCCCTTTTAACTACGTAGAGTTGCCTTAATATTTTAACCAATATCAAAAGATAGGTGGTTTTTGAAAAAAATAGCTTCTAAAGGATTGTGATATGAAGCTTATGTTAATGAATTGGCTACCACACAAACGTGTAGAATAACAATACCAAGGAACTAAACTTTAATTTCCTTCCAAGGACAATGACCAACTGGAGGTCTTCTGTAACTTTACTTGCATATTTTGTTCATTATTATCTGTAGTGGAATATTAAAAGGGTCATTGCACTTGGCATTTACTCTGGAGTGATGGCCACTTAGGCCTTGAAATAATCTTTTGTAAATAATCAGTGATTGTTTATCTGAGATTTATGGGGTTGCTCTTTGTTGGGAATGTCAGAACCTAGCATAGCCTCGGCCGTAAGACATTTCTGGCAAGTCTGGAATTCTTATGATTGTGTTTGCTTAGGCCATGGTTCCTTAAGACAACTTCTAGTTCAGATGAGAGACTTTGGTGTTTGGGAATCGACCTGCTAAAAGGCCTTCTGTGTATCCATTAAAAAAAAACAAAAAAACAAAAAACCACGGAGACTGATTTCCCTGCTGCTTTTCACCCCCGCAATGTCTCTCTTCCACTGACCCGGAGGGCTCAGAACACAGACAGGTATTCCCAGAACCTAGACCTGCACTTGGCACCTAGAGAACCAATAACCTGTTTGTTAACTGGGGGGTCGGGGGTGGGGTATAAAACTACATAACAAAAAAGGGAAAGGAGGTAGGTAGCTACCAGAATCACAAACGCGATATCAGAGCAGACTAGCTACTGAGCTTCATGACTGCTGCCGTACTCAAACCATCAGCTACTTCTGAACTCCCCCAATTCTTTCAAGACAGTAGGATGCAGCAGGCCAGTCAGGTAACTCAGCAAGAAAAGGCACCTGCTACCAGGCCCTGCTCACATGACTTCCATCCCAGGGACCCACTTGGTGGGAGGGAAGAACTGGCTTCAAGCTGTGGCATACCTTGGCACGTGCTCGCACCAACCCCGATAAATAAATAAATAAATTTAATCTAACTAATCTTAAAGAGATAAAGATGAAAATCCACTGCGGCTGCCGATTTTCACCGGGTAAGCGCACTGATAATGCCCACAAGGGAAGGAAGGAGAGAGAGCCCCCGAGTTCTCACCTGAGCCGCTCTGCCGTCTGCAGCCGGACGCTGGGCATCCGTGAGCGCACGTATCCCGCAAGCCCTTATTCCTGCAGTACTGGAACCCGGAGTCGCTTCTCTCGTCTCCATTTTTTGGAAGCGGAGGAGGGCTCAAGCTCTTCCCCTCAGACCTTTTCTTAGATGTAGTCGAACACGAAACTTCATAAAGACCGCCAGGTCTTCTTCCGAGGCCATACCCAAGGTCACCTTCCGTCATATCATCCTCCTCTGCCCCCCAGATATCCTCGGTCTCACTCGAGGACCTCGTCACTCTGCTCATTAGCCAAATGCTGTTTCTACCATGAGGGAAAACAGGCTGTTTGTAGTTAGGGGAAGCAGTAATTAAGAAGCAGCCAGCAGATGCAGCAGTCCCTCTTCTGGTTGGTTTTTTCTTTTTTTTTTTTTTTCCCCTAAAAGACATGAAAACATTTATGTCAAAGAGATGCCTACGCGTGTTCACAAGGGGGAGGGGAAGGGAGGGAGGAGGAGGGGAGAGGAAAGGGAACTGGAGAGATGGCTCAGAGGTTAAGAGCACTGGCTGCTCTTCCACGGGTCCTAAATTCAATTCCCAGCAACCACATGGTGGCTCACCACCATCCATAATGAGATCTGGTGCCCTCTTCTGGCATGCAGGCATACATGCAGATAGAATACTATATATATATAATATATAAATAAATCTTTTGAGAGAGAGAGAGAGAGAGAGAGAGAGGCTGAAAAGATGGCTCAGCAGTCAGAAGTACTTGGTGTTTTTTACAGAGGACCAGAGTTCAATTCCCAGTACCCCCATCAGGCGGCCCACAACTACCTATAACTCCAGCTACAGGGATCCTCTACCCTCTTGTGGCCTCCAAGGGTACCTGCACACATGTGGTATACATACAGACAAACAGGCACACACACATAAATAAATTTTAAAATAAAGACAAAACAAAAACCTCACACACAAATGCGCTTGACAATGCTCATTAGAAGTATTTAACACCTCAGGTCTTTTTCCACAGGCAAGGGTCCCAGGTCTTATTTCAAAGACCAAGGTGAACTGTGGTAAAGGCAGCGAAGACTTGACCTGTGAATCCGGTACCCTCCTGATCAGGGTAGAGTAGACCAGTTACTGTGGTGACGGAAGACTTTAAAATGCAAGCGTATAAAGGAGACAGTTCCGTTTGTACAGGTCTGAGAGTGGTACAGAAGTGTGAAAGAGACTTCCTGTGACAAACACTGTTTCAGAAGGACCCCGTCTCCTGATCTGTCCCTGCTCCCCCCTTACCTCAAGGGTTGAGGGCACCTTTGGCTCTGTGTGCCTCGGGGATAGTAACTAGGCGGAAGAGGGTGTTCCTCTTGGTTCCCTCCCTTTTCGCCCTCAAATTACACTGTCACATTTGTGTTCAAAATCCCCCACTATTGTGTAACTCAAGTAAAAACCAAAGTCTGTGCAATGGCCAAAGGTCCCGCATGCTCTCCATCTCTCCTCATCCCCACACTGGCAGCCCTGGCTCTCTGATGCTCTGGTGTGGACCAGACATTCTGCGCCACAGAGCTCGTTGCTACCTGGACTGTTCCTCCCCTACACGTCTGCACATCTGGTTCCTCAGCCTCTTTGGGTCATAGCTTCAGTGCCTGTCACCTTCTCAGTGACCTTTCTTGGTATAACATCTAAATGGCAAGTGTGGAGGCGGCGGGTACTGCTCACTGGCTGAGCGCTTGCCTAGCACACATACGGTCCTAGGTTCCGTCCTCCACACAGCAAACTAAAATAAATAAATAGAAGTGCAAGCTCACCGAGCTGTGGCAGCACGGGCTTGTAACGTCAGCACGTCGAGAGTACTCAGAAGCAGGAAGAAGCCAGTTTATGATCAGCCTGGGCCGTGTAGAAGAGCTAGCCTTAAAATAATAGAAAATAGCCAGGCGGTGGTAGTGCACACCTTCAATCCCAGCACTCGGGAGGCAGAGGCAGGCGGATCTCTGTGAGTTCGAGGCCAGCCTGGTCCACAGAGCGAGTTCTGAGACAGCCAGGACTACACAGAGAAACCCTGTCTCGAAAAACCTAAAAACAAAGCACAAACAAAAGCAAAATAGCATTAAGCAGCCAGATGTGGGTTGGAACCCACAGAGATCTTGCTGCCTGGCCTCCTGAATTCTGGGATAAAAGGCATGCACCACCACGCCCAGCTTCTCTTCCTGCTTCTATTCCCTGCCTTGAATCTTTCCTTCACACTTAGAACTTTGTAACATATTCCTCCACATTTTACTTATTTCTCAAATTATACCACCAATCTGTCTGATGAGGTGGGGGAACTGAGCGAAACAGGAGGTGACTCACTGTGTCTGTGTTAGGCTAGGTCAGCCACCTGCACATCTCCTCCGCCACAGCCCAAACCTGCTCCAAACACCCTCGCGCAGAACGGACACGCCCACAGGTCACAGGTCCTGTCTGGTTCACCCCGGTACTCTAGAGCTTGATTCCGTTTCTGAAACATAAAGACTTGTTCACTAAGCAAATAAAAAGGAGTGAAGGAACAAATACAATGCTTGGCTCTTCTAAGACAAGGGCTCACAACAGTCACGTCGGCAAGGCTACACATTGGGCACCACAAGACTTGCCCTCTTTTCCAGAAGAAAATGTCTTCTAGAAACAGCATCTCGGAGGAAGAACCATCCCTGAGCCCCCTCCACCCCAGCCCCTGGGCCACTTACTTGGTCACAGGCAGGGAGCAACTGCTGCACGGACACTCAGCCCCCTCCCTTCAGGATGGAGTGCGGTGAACTCAGGCTTTCAACACTGGGCATTTCAAAACGGTGGTTTGGCTGCAACTGTTTAGAAATATTTTACTTTTTTTTTTAAACTATGAATTAAAAAAATTCTAATGTCAAACGTCAATGAGAAGAAAATAAAATAATAGTAATAATTAATAATAATAAAACAATCAGTAACGAGTCTCAGACAGATGAGACTGGGAATATAAATATCCTGCTGCTTAAGCAGATGCTTACCAGGACTTCAAAGACACTGAACCAGTCTTAGGCTTTTTGCTGAGATTGCTAATCTTATTTTTCACTATTAAAACCATATGCTAAACTGGGCAGTGGTGGTGCATGCCTTTAATCCCAGCATTTGGGAGGCAGAGATAGATTTATCTCTGTAAATTCAAGGCTAGCCTGGTCTACAGAAGGAGTTCCAGGATAGCCAGAGAGAAATTCTGCCTTGAAAAACTAAAAGAAAAAAAAAACGAACTAGAAACAACCCGTGTCCATCTCCGGAAATGACCACACCATTGAATATTCAGCAATAAATTTAATCCAATAGTCAGGCATGGTGGGACTCACTTGTACCTAGCATTCAGGAGTAGAAGCAGGGGAGTCATCAATTTCAAGACAGTTTAGACTACACTGCCAGCCTTTTCCTAAAAAGCAAACAGGACTAATAACAATAACAACAGCAACGTGCAGCATATAGGGTACACACCCGGGATCCCAGGGCCTAGGACGTTAAACAGGAGGATGATATACTTGAGACTAGCCTGGGCTACACAGTGAGATCCAGCACAGTCTGGGCTAAATGGCAAGATCCTGTCTCCCAAAACCAACCGACCAAACACTCTAGAGTGTATTTATTGTGTCTGCTGTACAGGCAACTACAGGGGTGAATGTAAAACCTTATGCTAACTGAGAAGCAGACACTATATGAGATCTTGTTAAAACTCATGTACAGTGACAGCTAGCAGAGCTGGGCATGCAGCTCAGTGGTAGAACATTTGCCTAGCATGCACAAGGCCCTCGGTTCAACACTCAGTGTGCCAATAAAAAATATATCGGATGGCGCACACCTTTAATCTCAGCACTCAGGAGGCAGAGCCAGGCAGATCTCTGTGAGTTCCAGGCCAGCCGGTTCCACAGAGCAAGTTCTAGGACATGCTCCAAAGCTACACAGTGAAACCCTGTCTCGAAAAAAGAAAAAAGAGGGAAAAAAATGTATTGGTGACCTGATTGGTGGTCAAAGTAACTGGTTTATTCTGAATCTTCCAAGTTATAAGCCATTTAAGTAGATCAGTAGCGGCGGCGGCGGTGGGTAGATTAATAGTTGCCTGGAGTGGGAAAATTGATCTCAAAGGTCACTAGGAAATTTGGGGGTGGTTATGGAATAGTCCTAGTCTATCCTTCCTTTCTTCATATATATATATATATATATATATATATATATATATATATATATATATACACACACACACATATATATATATATGACAGTATCTCTCTATTACATAACTCTCTGGCTGTCCTGGAACTCCTCACTATGTAGATCAGACTGGCCTTGAACACACAGAGATCCACATGCTTCTGCCTCCCAAGTGCTGGGATTAAAGGCGTGTACTACTATGCCCAGCCTGAATAGTCCTATATTTTAACCAGAGTGATAATTTGTTAAAACTCAACAAATCATATACTTCTTTTGTACTTATATAAAAATTTAAAAAATTTTATATACATTGGTGTTTTGCCTACATGTATGTCTGTGTGAAAGTGTCGGATCCCCTGGAACTGGAGTTACAGTTGTGAGCTGCCATGTGGGTGCCGGGAATTGAACCTGGGTCCTCTGAATAGCAGCCGCTCTTAACAGCTGAGCCCTCTCTCTCTCCAGCCTCCAAATTTTATACTTATAATGGCACACTTTATTACACGTCACTTTTATTTAAGTAGTATGCTAACATTTTAAAACATAAAACATACAAGAAAAACTGGACTCAGTTATAAGATATGTGTCAGTTAGTTGGGGCTCTCCCAGAAAAAAAAAAAAAAAAAAGGAAACCTGGACTCATTACATAGCCCAGACTGGTCTTAAAGTCTGGGTCCTCCTGCCCCAGCCCCCCAAATGCTGGGATTACTAATGTGTGTCACTAGGTCTGAAAGCAGCTTTTTGTTTTGTTTTGTTTTTCGAGACAGGGTTTCTCTGTGTAGCTTTGGCTGAAAGCAGTTTTTAAAAACAGGATGTAGGTAGGCAGTGGTGGCATATGCCTTTGATCCCACCACTCAGGAGGTAGAGGTAAGAAGATCTCTGTGAGTTCGAGGCCAGCATCATCTTCAGAGAGAGTTCCAGGAGGTCAGGGCTGTTACATAGAGAAAGCCTGTCTTGAAAAACCAACCATCCCCGCCCCTGCAAAAGAAAAAAAAGAAGAAGAAAAAAAGAAAAAAAAACCACAAACAAACAAAGGAAAAACCAAAGTGTCATCACCGTCAGCAGGGAATGCTGGCTTTCTGTGGCCTCAGACTGTGTCGTTCTCACAAACACCCTGCAGCCAGACAATGCTATTATGGTTAGCATTGACAAGAGCCGGAGATGGGTCTTTGGAGCCTCCTGCCCGGTGACAAGTGTTCCACCCTTGTGTGTCATGGAATCCGCAGTTTACAAAGTTTCCACAACTTGCAGAACAGAAAATACAAATCTAAAGCAGTTATGTAGAGAAACACAGAAAGCAGATTGCTAGCTTCATTCCTTTTCAATTTTTTTTAATTAAAAAAATTATTTTTAAAGATTTATTTACCACATAAGCAGTGTTCTGCATGGAGGAATGCCTGCTTGCCAGAAGAGGGCGCCAGACCTCATTCTAGATGGCTGTGAACCACCATGCAGTGGCTGGGAATTGAACTCATATCCTCTGGAAGAGCAGCCAGTGCTCTTAACTGCTGAGCCCTCTCTCCAGTGGCTTTTTCAGTGTTTTGTTTTGTTTTTTTGTTTTGTTTTCGAGACAGGGTTTCTCTGGTAGCTTTGGAGCCTGTCCTGGAACTCACTCTATAGACCAGGCTGGCCTCGAACTCACAGAGATCCATCCGCCTGGCTCTGTCTCCCGAGTGCTGGGGTTAAAGGTGTGTGCCACCACCGCCCGGCGCTTTTTCAGTTTTTAGAAAGTCACAACCCCTTTATAAAAAAGGCCTGGTTACTTCCTTTAAAAGGACATCTGGGGAATGGGACCGCAGCTCCGTCAGCAGACTGCTTGCAGAGCTTGCAGAAGGCCCTGGGTTGGACTCCCAGCAAGCCTTCCATGAACCTGGTGACCACACCAAGAGGTAGAGGCACGGGGATTGGAAGTTTAAAGTCTGGGCTGGAGAGGTGGCTCAGTGGTTAAGAGCACTGACTGCTCCTCCAGAGGACCCGGGTTCAGTTCCCAGCACCCACATAACAACTGTTTGTAACTCCAAGACCTGACACCCTCACACAGACTTACATGCAAGCAAAATAAAAATAAATAAATTACTAAAAAAAGGTTTAAGGTCGTCCTCTGATACACACAAGTTGGAGGCCAGCTTGAGATACGTGAAACCTTGTGCATTTTTATTTTGTTTGTTTGTTTGTTTTTTGGTTTCTTTGAGACAGGGTTTCTCTGTGTAGTTTTGGTGCCTGTCCTGGATCTCGCTGTGTAGACCAGGTTGGCCTCGAACTCACAGAGATCTGTCTGGCTCTGCCTTTGAGTGCTGGGATTAAAGGCGTTCGCTACCACCGCCCGGCTTGTTTTGTTTTTTAATCTAGTATAACATTCTTGTCAAGGTAGATAGGGAATTATTTATTGAACCGAAGAATAACGTCTTGGGAGACTACATCTACCCCTGCTGTAGAGTCCTGCTGGATAAATGCAATCTTGGGCCTTCACTAAGAATGAGGGTCACTGGTAGAACATTTGCCTAGAAGGTTCAATCCTCAGAGAGGACAAAAAAAAAAAAAAAAAAGGCGTGGTGAACAGCAATAAAGAACAAAGACAGAATTGGTCAACACAGAGGGAAAGCAGGTCTCTGAGAGAGTAAATTGTAGATAACCATAGAGTTAGACAAGGGTTTTGTTTTGTTTTGTTTTTGTTTTTGAGACTGGATCCTGTTATACAGTCTAGGCTGACTTCAAATTTACCATGTGGTTCACACTGGCCTCAAACTTGCAATCCTTCTGACTCTGCTTCCTGAGTGCTGCATCAGTACATCAAGTGTGCATCAGCACATCCAGTGTGAATCAACACAACACATCCACTGTGTATTAACACAACACATCCAGTGTGCATCAGCACATCCAGTGTGCATCAGCACATCCAGTGTGTATCAACACAACACATCCAGTGTGCATCAGCACATCCAGTGTGCATCAACACATCAGTGTGCATCAACACATCAGTGTGCATCAACACATCCAGTGTGCATCAGCATATCAGTGTGCATCAGCACATCCAGTGTGCATCAGCACATCAGTGTGTATCAACACAACACATCCAGTGTGCATCAGCACATCCAGTGTGCATCAACACATCAGTGTGCATCAACACATCCAGTGTGCATCAACACATCCAGTGTGCATCAACACAACACATCAGTGTGCATCAACACAACACATCCAGTGTGCATCAATACATCAGTGTGCATCAGCACATCAGTGTGCATCAGCATGTCAGTGTGCATCAACACATCCAGTGTGCATCAACACAACACATCCAGTGTGCATCATCAACACAACACATCCAGTGTGCATCAACACATCCAGTGTGCATCAGCACATCAGCGTGCATCAGCACATCAGCGTGCATCAACACATCAGCGTGCATCAACACATCAGTGTGCATCAGCATGTCAGTGTGCATCAGCACATCCAGTGTGCATCAGCACATCTGTGTGCATCAACACATCAGTGTGCATCAACACATCCAGTGTGCATCAACACATCCAGTGTGCATCAGCACATCAGTGTGCATCAGCACATCAGTGTGCATCAACACATCAGTGTGCATCAGCACATCCAGTGTGCATCAGCACATCAGTGTGCATCAGTTTTCTGAGATGTGTTCTAGATTTCTATGTACCCCAGGCTGACCTTGAACTTGTGGTCTTCTTCCCTCTGTCTCTGGAGTGCTGGAATTGAAATCATTCATTGCTCTATCAGGCAAGATTCTTTTCTTTTTAAGATAGGGTCTTCCTGTGTAGATCTGGCTGGCCTGGGTACTCATTATGTAGCTCAGGTGGCCTTAAACTTTTGGCAAATCTCCTAGCTCTGCCTTCTGAGTTTGGGGTTATAGGTGAGTACCACCATGCCCAGCTCAAGAACATTTGTTAATGTACCACATACATTCATTCATACGTGGTGAGTTGTCTTGCCATTCAAGGCTGAATATGAGTTTTCCTATCCTCCGGTATGCTATTGTTTTGGTGGGGGTTTTGTTTTGTTTTGACGAGGGGAATTGAACCCAAAGTGTTGTGCATGAAGGGTAAAGGCTTTGCCACAAACTACATCCCTCTCCAATGCCCCTGCCTCCCCAGATAGGGTTTCTCTGTTTACTCTGGTCATCCTGGAACTCGCTCTGTAGACCAGGCTGCCTTGAACTCAGAGATGTGTCTGCCTCTGCCTCCTGAGTTCTGGGACTAAAGGTGTGTGCCACCACCTCCTGGCTCTAATGTTTTTTTCTAAATGTAACTTTGATAGGTATTGGCTGTGTAGTGCTGAAATGTGATATGAAAAAATCAAACTTTACTCTGGGGACACTTTACTTCTTAGAATTATGTGGTGGAATAATCTTTTTGTACACTGCAAAGAAGCATCTTTGCCAAGGTGCCTTCTGATTGGTTTAATAATGATATGAATGGCCAATAGTAAGGCAGGAAGAGGTTAGGCAGAACTTTTGGGTGGAGAGAGAAAGGGAGATGAATCTAGGTGTGGGAGAGACGCTAGAGCGGAAACAGAAGGTGCAAGATGGAAGAGAGGTAAAAAGCCACAAGGCAAATTGTAGATTAATATAAATGGGTTATGTTATAAGAGCTAGTGGGATACACCTAAGCTATAGGTTGAGCTTCCATAATTAATAAGTCTGTGTCGGTTTGTTTGTTGTTGTTTTTTTTTTTTTTTTTTTGGTGAGCTGGTGGCCCAAAGAAAAATCCGTCTATAGAATTACAAGCCTTCTAGTGAATTTAATTTAATTTTTTTTTCGAGACAGGGTTTCTCTATGTAGCTTTGTGCCTTTCCTGGAACTCGCTTTGGAGACCAGGCTGGCCTTGAACTCACAGAGATCCGCCTGGCTCTGCCTCCTGAGTGCTGGGATTAAAGGCGTGCGACACCACCGCCCGGTGTTCTAGTGAATTTAGTATGTTTGATACTAATTGGGGAACCAGCAGGAAGTGGAGTAAGAAAGTGCCGCCTTGGGAGTCTGAGCCCAAATTTGTAACTGCCGATCTCTGATCCTGATCGTGTCATTGCCTCCAAAATGAGTTTAGGTATAATGACTGGACAGGGTCATTTGGAGCACCATGGATAATGTGAGATCAACTACAGTAGTCAAAAAAAGAATTTGAATTTGAGTATTAAGTGAACTTGGTGGTATATGACCTGCCGGTACTCAATAACCTGAGGAAGGCGGCTTGCTTAAATGCATGCATTTGACACCAAAATGAGCAATATAGTAAGACTGCATCCCACCCACCCACCTCACTCTCCCATCCCCTGCCCACAAAGGAAGGATTTGTGTACCAGTTTACCTCCTTACTGAGCGAGGAGATTACATATAATTTTTGTTTTTGTTTTTGTTTTTCGAGACAGGGTTTCTCTGTGTAGCTTTGGTTGTCCTGGAACTCACTCTGTAGACCAGGCTGGCCTTGAATTCATAGAGATCTACCTGCCTCTGCCTTCCAAGTACTGGCTTTGATTTTTTTTTTTCAGAATATTAAACTTCTATTTCTGTATCAGTGTTTTGCAAAGTGTGTTCCATGGAACACTTCTCCGTCCTATTTATTCTAGAAATAAAAGGGTTCTTGGGATTTCACTGAGAAACGTTTTCCTATTCTAAACACACATGACTTGCCCAAAGAACACAGGCAGCAGTAGGTTTAGCCAGAGCTAGAAAACATCTGGCTCCCTGTCCAGTCCTCTGGACACTTGGGAAAGGACACAGCATGAATCGATTGCCAGCCATCTTTCTATTTTTCACTAAAATAACTCGGAAAAATAGTGACCTGCTAATTGCTAACTCCAATAATCAGCCTCACCCCGCGCCTCTCCACGTCTGCAGGAGGACCACCAGGGCATCCCAACCCAGCCAGAAAGCAGCCCTTCTTTTGCCATGAGGGCCACCTTCTGCCTTCGAAGGCTCTTTGTCCTTCCTCTGGCTCCTTCTGTAGAGCTTGCCTTCTACTTTTACCACCCTTAAACATATATTTCCAGCTCAATACTCGGCCTGTGATTCAAAGACAGCTCAAAGCAAGTTTATTATCTTCCCCACCCCCAATCCAGGTCTCTTCTGGAGTCCTCTACTTTCTCAACTGTGTCGACCATGTTCCAAAACCCTCAAGAAAAAAACTTTGGAATATGTTTTCCCTCCTTTTCTCTCCGATTCTCAAATGCCTTCAATTTTTAAGTCGTCAAGATGCAACAAAAATCTACACAAATCGTATCTTTTGCACTTTAATTTCCTGGTTAAATTTCTGATTACTTCTGGGCTAAATTGACAAAACCATCCTACACATCGCTGCTGAGTCAATACTTTCTAAACCGATCCAATGATGTCCCTTTCTGGCCCTAAGACATTCCATGGCTCCCACTAGTTTAAAAAGTGTCTCATTTGCTCACACCTAATAGATGCTCCAAAATATTTGTTGAAGAGAATTGAGAGAGGGCAGATTCCAACGGGGAAAACGTAGGCCAGCAGGATCTGCCCCCACAAGCCTGCCAACTACTTTAGCAAACAAGTTGATCAAACAACTACCTACTTCCTGTCCTGCTTGGGAAAAAAAAAAAACTAACATAAGCCCTCCTTAGCGAGCCGCAGCCCGCTTCACTTTGCTGTGGCCTTTTTATGCTAACTTTTAACTTTAGAATAGTTTTAGATTTATAATAAGTTGCAAAGACTTAAACCTATACACCCTCCACTCAAATTCCTCTAAAGTTAGCACTCGGGTACATTTATCAAAAATTGAGACCAAAACACTGGTGCAGGTTACTAACTAAACCACAGACTTCCGTGATTTCCTGTTTTTCTCGAGGACTTCGGTTGGTTCCTTTTTTTGTTTCAGGATCGAAATCAGGATATTGCATACCATTCGGTTTGCTGGCTCTATGGAAAAAGGAGCCAGTTTGCTCCGCTGACCACCACCTGCAGTTTCCATTACTGCGCGGCCGGGCTCCCGACCCTCCCCAGCGCGGGTGCCCAGGGTCCTGCCCTGACGAGGACACTCTGCGCATCCGTCCCAAGGATCGAACCTTCAGCCCCTTCCTTCAGTGGCTCACCCCGCACTGCCGCGCGTCCTCAGGCCACGTGACTGCACGACCACCGCCAGGGACCGGGAAGGGTCCCCGGGTCCAGGTGGGCCAGCGGCGCGCCACTCCTCCCGAGCCCAGTGGCCGTGCCTCCGAGCAACCGGATGTTAGCTGCCCTCCTCCAACTTCAGCTCCAAAGCCGGATGGACGAATAAAAGCCCGAGATTTAGAGCGGGACTAGGACACGGTCACGCTCACTTAAATGGTCCCAACTTTGGGACTTTAGGAACCCCCTAAGAGAAAAACGCGCCCGAGGTGAGGTTCCCGGGGAGAGGCAGACCTGGGAGCGCAGCTTTTCTGCAGTTGGAAACCCAGAAGGCAGCTTGGGCCGCTGCGAGTGCTGGGGCGAAGAAGGCGCGGCAGGGGGAAATGCCTGGAGAGCGCTGGTGGCAAGACCAGTTGGTTTCCTGTGGCAGGCGCTTCCATCCCACGGGCCGGACCAACTTCATTACCGTGTTAAAATGATCGTGTACTAATTCTGGGCGCCTCCACCTCGTAATTACTGAAGGCTTTGCGGTGGTCAGACACTTTCCTAAGTTTGAAGATTGTTGGTGAAGCGGCGGCGCCCGCAGTGGCTATGCAGACGGGAAAGAGCGCTGGACGCTGCTGCGGTGGCGGAAGAATCACGGGGCATGGTTACCTTTCTAGAGCTTTATTGAGAGAGAGAGAGAGAGAGAGAGAGAGAGAGAGAGAGAGAGAGAGAGAGAGAGAGAGAGAGAGAGGGAGGGAGGGAGGGAGGGAGGGAGGGAGGGAGGGAGGGAGGGAGGGAGGGAGGGAGGGAGGGAGGGAGGGAGGGAGGAGAGAGAGAGAGAGAGAGAGAGAGAGAGAGAGAGAGAGAGAGAGAGAGAGAGAGAGAGAGAGAGAGAGAGAGAGAGAGAGAGACGCCCCGTGGAGAACAGAGGGAATAGGGATGGGGGGTACGGAAAGAGAGGGCACCCCCGCTTTTTAGGCTGGGACTCTGTCGCAGGCTGATGACGTGATAAGGACAGAATCCTTACATCCCAGACTTTCGCTTATTATATATATATATATATATATATATATATATATATATATATATATATATATATATATATAAAAAGCAGGTGGATGGGAACAGGGGCATCGTTTCTCTCAAAAGCTGCTTCCAGCTGACTTTTGGACGTCGGTTAGCTCTTGGGGGAATGGAGAAGGGGAGCCTTCCGAGGTAGACAGGCTTTGTGGGATGCTGTCTGCCATCCGTTGCTCTGGAGAGACATGTATCCCTCTTGGCTGTGGCTGGGAACCTTCTGTCTGACAAGATGCTGGTGACACAGAAAAAACGCTTAGAGAGAAAAGAATCATTATTATTTTATGTTGGTAGATCCGGCCTGTCCAGATGGATTTTGAAACATGTTAAGCTTTATCAGAGACAGATTATTTTAAGGCACCTGTTTCCTTTACTAGTTTGGCATCCAGGAGATGGGTGATCAATTGTTAAAAGCATCTCACAGTAATAGATATTTACATTAAAGTCTTTTTGTAGCGCCCAGATGCTTTTGAGTCTGGGGGTGTAAATACCTTTTAGCTGTTACAGTTTCTTACTTGATGATCTCTGGGACTCCGGTTCTGTGGTGGTCTTGTACCATTAGCTGAACAGTGAGTTAGAACAGGGAGCTGGGAAGAGAAAAGCTTGTGGTTAATGAGAACTTATTTTTTTGAATTAGGGACAAGGCAGAGATCAGGGCTCTGTCTGTGTGCACGTGAGAAACACAGGCAGTAGATCTGGAATGAGACAATGAAATGAATGCTCCTATCTTAGCTGGAAATCTTTTCCCATTAAGTAACTCTGAAAGTGCAAGTAAATCTGGTGAGGTGGGTAAGGCTGTCTGTCCTCTGTACCCGATGATAGAGAAAGGAGAGGTGACATCCCAAAACTCCCAGGACTGAGTCAGTGGTTTTGGTGTCCCAGAAGGAAAGAAACGGATCGCTTCCCTGCTGCGTTCTGGGTTCCCTGCCATGTCTGTAGCCAAGCCTAGGTCTGCTGGAGGTCTTAGCTTGATGTACCCATGCATCTTGGCGCCTGGGGGCAGTCAGCTGACTTGGTTGTCTTTCTAGGCAGCACTTTTAACAAGGCTGTTGATGGCCTGGCAGGGCATTCGCTAGCCTGTGGCCTTTTCCTCACTTAAAACAGGGACCCAACAGCTTTTGGGAGTCAGCGAGTGCCAGCACTTGGCAATTTTGTTTTCGGTTTTTTAATCTTTTCCCTGGCACACCTTAAATATCACAGATTACTCTTTTGCCTGTGGGGTCAGGAGCCTTGCTCTCCAGATATTTAAGTTTTAGTTGGGGAGGTCTGGGGAACAAGAGGCGGATTTTACTCCAAGTGTACTGAATTTTTTTTTTTTTCCTTTCTGATCGTTGCTGGCTTAAGGACAGCTTTTGGAAGATCTGCCAGGAGGCAGACTATAAGTTGATTTTTGGCTTAAGAGCCATCCTGACTACTGTAAACTTATTTGTATGGATCTTAGCCGTTACCAGACCCATCTGTGCTTCTCAAGGCAGTTTGAGAATGAGTGGGTGGAGTTAAGGCGAGTTAGGGCGACAGTCCATAGAAGCCGCCCAAGCCTGCCCATTTGAGCCCGCCCACTGCCTGCGGAAGTCAGACAGAAAAGGTTGCATGTGGCAGAGGCAGAAATGGGGAGGAAGAAGGGTTCAGAGCGTTAGCAGAAAGCTTGGGGATAAAGTAACTCTTTTTTTTTTTTGCCCGTTCGCTGGCAGAAGTTCACGTGACCGCTGTTATGTGGCCAGATTTACCGGTACCCGCCCCTATCCGCCAGTGTAAGTGATAAATGTATCCGCCCCTTTGTCCCATGGCTGTAGCGGAGAGAATCCTTACAAAGATTACTCTGGTTTGGAAAACAGAGATCAGATCCTTCTCTTGCAGTTATAAACCTCTCATTTCTTCTCCAGAGCCCGTCGGCATTGTCCTTAGATATGAGGAAAACCTGACTGAGAACGGAGTTGATCTCAGGAGACCTTCTAGACAATTGCATGGGGTCTTTCACATGTACCCCATGCGATCGCCTAGTTTCTGTTCTTGTTTCCATTACCTGAATAGAAACCAGTGAACTAGGGGGTTAAGAATTTAGCTCAGTGGTAGAGCGCTTGCCTAGCAAGCCCAAGGCCCTGGGTTCGGTCCTCAGCTCTGAAAAACAAAACAAAACAAAAAAACTAGTGAGCTACTTCTAGGGGTGGCTGTGTGAATTCAGAGCTATCTGTCTCTTTTTTAAAAATAAGACTTTCTGGCATAGTAAAAACATGCTATCATTCAGGTGTTTATGATAGTAGAAATCTGTAAACTTATGTCCACCAAAGAACTGATTAACTCAAACTAAGAGATTAGGAGTCCTGAAACTTGTGTGGGGGGACGCCTGAGGTCAGCCTCTAGACTTCATAAACACACATGTACCTGCATGTACATATTCTAATGTGAGGCCTCTCTCTGTGAGACCCCTACTCTATTCTCCAAAGAGGAAAAAGCTTAGGCAAGGATATCTTAATATAGACAGGCCCAGACCAGTTTTAAGTTCCCAGATGGTGATATCAGCCCCAGAAACTCGATAATACACAGTAAGGATGTTTGACCATCTGGTGGGGACTGTTTGTTTGACCACGAAATGTCCCAACTCCGGAGGCAGGATGTCTCAACTCAGGAGACAGCTCGTAAAAGTCCTGACAAAGCAGCTGAACAGATGAAAAATAAAGATAACATATAGGCCTGGGAAAATGGAATCAATACTAATTAGGGGAGAAGGGAGGCGGGAGGGACTGTGGAGGATTGTGGGTTTTGCCTTTAAAAGCTAGCTTCACAGAGAAAGAGGAATTCCTCCCTGCCTCCCTGCCATGGGTGCCAATGAACGAGTCCCTATATGGCTTGTATCGCGCTTACAATAAACCTTGGTGTTACATTCTGGACACCCTCTGTCTTCAGTGGTCTCTCTGGGGGTCGTGATCTGGGTAGAACATCTGGGGGCTCCTGAATCGGATCCTAACTAAATTAGCCTTGGAGACTGGCGGTAATTGGGTGACTCTCCTCCCCTACGCTTTGTTCCGAGTAAGGAACTCCCCCTATCATCTGGGATTAACCCCTTTTGAGGTCATGTATGGGCAGCCACCCCCTCTCATACCTAGCTTGCAAAAAGAGCTGGTGATGCAGACGGAGGATGTGGACCTCATTAAGAGTTCAAAACTTTTGTCCCAAATACAAGTGGACATATGGCCCCAATTACGGGCCATCTATTCATCCTCCTCTTCTCCCAAGCCCCATAGCTACCAGCCCGGGGACTGGGTCCTGATCCGCAGACACCAGTGCAGGACCTTGGAGCCAAGATGGAAAGGGCCCCAGGGTGTTATCCTGACCACACCCAAGGCTCTCCAGGTGGACCGCATTGCAGCCTGGATCCACCACTCCCACGCCCGACTGGCAGACCCGTTCGGCCTGGACGAGACCGGGGAGGCTTCAAGACACCCCTCCAACCCGCTGAAGCTCGAGCTCCAACGCGGAAGAAAATGAAGCCCATCCCGCTTCTGCTGCTCCTGCTCGTGAAAGCAGGAACACGGGGCAGATCACTCCAACAACCCTCGCGTGCCATGGAACCAGACCTAGCTGGTAGTCAACGCGGAAACTGGCGTCATTGCTAATTCCAGCTCCTCGACCGGAGAACCTAAGGACACCTGGTTCCCGGACTTGTATGTCGACCTTTATGATCTTACGGTAGGAGAGGCGTGAGACCCATCAGACCAGGAACCAGGGTGTGCTTCTCCTGGCCAGAGAAAGAGAACTAGGGAGCCCTGGACATTCCCGGAGCCGGGACCAAGTTAAAAAATGTGGGGGCCCAGGGTCAGCCTATTGTGCCGCATGGGATTGCGTAAGCACGGGGTATATTTGGTGGGAGGCCCCGATCAAAACTGATTTGATTACTGTGGGCCGGGGGTTCAGAAGTATGCTAGGAACAGGGAAATGTCAACAAAATAGCAGATGGGTAGACTGTGGCCCTTGTTATGATAAGGAGCGCTTCCCCAATCATCCATGGGCAACCCCTGGAGGGCGCTGCAACTCCCTGATAATTAGGTTTACTGAAAAAGGAAAAAAGGCCGACTGGACCACTGGAAAAACGTGAGGGCTGCGGCTGTACCGTTCTGGGTATGACCCTGAACTTACTTCACCATCCGGCGCACTCTGTACCCAGTAACCTCAGTGGGGCCCAACATAGCACTGAACCCCCAACCAAAGCACATTGTGCCGAGGGACACAGCACTGCCACTGAGTCTGACCATACCACCATTAAGCCCAGCCACATAGGCTCCCCGCTGTTCTCCCTGTTCCAAAAATCCTTTTTGCTTCTTAATGCCACTAGGCCCAATTTAACAGCCTCTTGTTGGCTCTGCTATGATACACAACCCCCCTTCTATGAGGGAGTAGAGGTAATGGGCAAGTGTAGTGTCACCACCGACCCTCAACAGTGCCGCTGGAAAACCAAGGCCTCCCTAACACTCCAACAGATGGAGGGCCAAGGCTTATGCATAGGACAAGTCCCACAGGAATATCAGGTCCACTGCAATCGTACTCAGCCACTTGGGAACCAGGTTGGCTACCTGTTGCCCTTGAACGACACCTGGTGGGCGTGTTCCTCTGGGCTGACTCCATGTGCACACA